AACAGGGTTCCGTTTGGACGCTGCGGCCCTTTAAGAATGTCATTAGGCCAATTAGGCTCAAAGTGAAGTTGGGTGGAAGTGATGCTAAAGTGTCGCAAGGGAAGGAGACAGGAGCAGACGGCACCACAGTTAGCATTGATGTAGAAGAGAGGCTGGAGTGAGCTGCTGCAGACTCTCATGCTCACTCCCATTAGCCTCAGCCAGCAGCACCAGGACCCCAAGCAGGCCACACTCCTGGAAACAAAAGGTTTGTTAACAGGAGATGAGCTGCAAATATAAAAATTACAACATCTATGTGTCAGATTGTGTGTGTGTGTGTATGTGTCAATGTGTGTACCTGTGTGTATGTGCCAGTGTGTCAGTGTATGTATCTGTATGTCAGTGTGTGTATCTGTGGGTCAGTGTGTGTGTGTGTGTGTCAATCTGTGTAATATATATGTGTGTATCTGAGTTTATGTGTCACAGTGTGTATCTGTATGCCAGTGTGTGTATCTGTATGTCAGTGTGTGTATCTGTGTGTCAGTGTTTATCTATGTGTATGTGCCAGAGAGTGTATCTGTATGTCAGTGTGTGTCACTGTGTGTATGTGCCAGTGTGTCAGTGTATGTATCTGTATGTCAGTGTGTGTATCTGTGTGTCAGTGTGTGTGTGTCAATCTGTGTGTTTGTGTCACAGTGTGTATCTGTATGCCAGTGTGTGTCAATCTGTGTTTATGTGTCACAGTGTGTATCTGTATGCCAGTGTGTGTATCTGAGTGTATGTGCCAGAGAGTGTATCTGTATGTCAGTGTGTGTATGTGCCGATCAGTGTACCTGTGTGTATGTGTCAGTGTGTGTTTATATGCCAGTGTATGTATGTATCAGTGACTGTATCTGTGTGTCAAGGTGTGTGTGCATGTGTCGATAGTGTGTTATGTGTGTAATAGTGTGTGTGAATAGTTGCAATGTGTTGTTCCATAAATAGTTGTCCTCTGTCATAATAAAATGTAATGTCTTTGTGCATACTTCTTTGGTGGCTGTGTGCATGTATAATAAGGTTTTGCATGTTGGGATGTCTGTTAAACTTAAAAAATACGTTTTGACGGTAGCAAAGAAAAGTGTCGTAAAGCAACATTAATGGCTGCCAAATCATCCTGTTCCTGTAGGTAACTCTGTAATAATGTGTCTGTCTTTAAAATTTTGGAATGAAGGGGGGTTGTTCTTTCCCTTCCTTGTACTGCTCTCTATTCTTTAATCTATTTGTTTTGCAAGATACCATTGTTGTTTTGTCAATGTACACCCATCCTCCACAGGTTTATATATCCTGTTTGACATATTAGACTCCTCTAGAATGTGAACTGTTTGCAAATTAAACAGAAGCCTAGGAATTGGGGGAAAGCATCACAAACACAAATACTCACTCTAAACATTCAGTATACATGCTTGCATCTTTACATACCTTATGTGTAATAGCTCATCGCTGGGTAAGAAAGTATGGTTTTGTTTTTTTACCACATAGTTATTTACACTATGTATTCAAAATATCACAGTCAAAATGCTGGGTTTTTTTCTGAGCAACTTAATCTGAATAACGTTGACAGGGACATCGCTGATCACCTGAGAGCTTAAGCCACCCAGTAGCTCTGAATACATAAAAACGGCTTGAGAAAAATATGTAAGTTTATCCAATTTGTTTTGTGAATGAGGAACTACTGACTGACTTGGACCTTCAGTTGATACTCTCCGCAAATCAGCAGCCCCTGCCTGCAAAAGTCCAAGGCATCCTGTTTGAAGAATCTGAGAGCAGAAGAAGGACAGGGGCAGAGCTAAACAGCTCTGTTAAAAAAAATTTTTATGACATCATGAATGATTTTACCCCAAAGGTAATCCGGAACCAGGGACATCCTGACACCATAACAACATCATTCCACTGAAGTTGTTTTGGTGCCTTGAGGTTCCCTTTAAATGTTGATCATTGTTTGAATGATGCTAAAGAAATTAATATGCCATAATCAAAGGCCAAAAAACTTGCATCATTAGTATGGTCCTACCGTGCAAGAGTCCAGCCAGGTAGGTTCTCCTCCCACTAAACACTTAAAGGGACACTATAGTCACCCAGACCACTTCAGCTTAATGAAGTGGTCTGCGTGCCAGGTCCCTCTAGGGTTAACCCTGCCTGCTGTAAACATTGCAGTTTTAGAGAAGCTGCTATGTTTACATTTGGGGTTAAGCCAGCCTCCAGTGGTTGTCTTCCGTCTTCTCGAGGTGCTTCGGCCACGCTGGAGGCATTTAATGCCACCATCACGCAGAGCATCCATAGGAAAGCATTGAAAAGTGCTTTCCTATGGACACTTTGAATGCGCGCGCTGCACTACCGCGCATGCACATTCCGCTCCACTGACGTCAGACGGGGGAGCTGACGTCGGCGGGGGAGGAGAGGTAAGGGAGCCCTGCGGTGGAAGAAGGTGAGTAACTGAAGGGGCTTTAACCCCTTCAGCACCACGGGAGGGGGACCCTGAGGGTGGGGGCACCCTCAGGGTACTATAGTGTCAGGAAAACCGATTTGTTTTCCTGACAATATAGTGATCTTTTAAGCAAATCAATAAGGCCAGGCAGATCCAATCACAGGACAAAAGAAGCAGACTCGATTGGCAGGCAAAAAAAAAGTGCCTTGCACAGAGCAAATCAAATTAGAATCTCCTACCTTTGTGCCCCCTCTGTTCATTATTTCTTATGGACTTTAGTCAGCATTAATGTGACTTCAATAAAGGACGTCTTTTAGCCCATATGATTAAAGAACCACTATAGGCACCCAGACCACTTCAGCTCAATGAAGTGGTCTGGGTGCAAGGTCCCCCTAGTTTTACCCCGGCAGCTGAAAACATAGCAGTTTCAGAGAAACTGCTATGCTTACACTGCAGGGTTAATCCAGCCTCTAGTGGCTGTCTCCTTGACAGTCACTAGAGGCGATTTACACTGAGTAAATAGCACTTATTTGACGTTGGACGTCCTCACGGACTTCCAGTGTCAAAAAAGATCCCCATAGGAAAGCATTGAGTAATGCTTTCCTATGGGCGAGTTTGAATGCGCGCGCGCCTCTGCCCGCGCATGCGCATTCGGCTCCACTCGAGAGCTGACGTCGATGGAGGAGAAGAGGTCTCCAGTGCAGAGGGAGCCCGGCGCTGGATTAAGGTAAGCAAATAAATGGATGATTAACCATTTATTCGCTGCGGAACGGGGCCCTAGTCACCGTTTAAGTGACTGGAACTCTATAGCGTTAGGAATACATATTTGTTCCTTTAAGTCTGGATTCTTTGTTCTGTGATTGTACTGGGTGCTTTTGATGCTGAAAACATTGTATCCATTTATAAAACATTACCATTAGTGCTAAAACTAAGCTTGTTTACTGTAACTTACCTCAAAAGTTAGAGATTGTTTAATGTGTACTGTAAATACCACAGTTCTCATCCAGGCTATGTTCCTCTTATATTTAAGCACTGTAATACCAACTATAATGGCACTATTGACTTTTCAATGGAGCTGCATTATAGATTATTTTCATTGTTTGGTTACTTTTTAAAAGTTTACATTTTTATGAACATAATTTTACCAAATTAGCATACTCAGGAATGACAACTCATCTTTCTGGCCCAAATCCTTTTTTTCTAATTAAAATCCTTATTTGACTATTTTCTAAGAGTTCAGAGTTTCAGAGACTCTCAGGAGTATTAACTAAAGCGAGAATTCAAAGTGACTTTCAAATTCAAGGTAAAAATAGCTAAACTGGCAAAAACTATCTGTCAGCTATGTTTCCAGCTTCTAAGACATACAAAAAAAGCTGCAATCACTTCAAAGTGCTGAAATAGTCGAATCGGATCAAGTATTCACCTCCGCTAATTTCCAATTGACCTATTTTTGGCCTAAAATGTCTGATAGACGTGTGTATCCGATAATACTGGCAGTATTTTGTATTTAAATTCCGGGAAATGGGTTTCAAAAAAATGTGTTTGTGTTCATAAAGCTTTTTGCACCCTAGAAATGATTTACTAATATAAATGGTTGTGTTGCTGTACAAGAACAGTTTACATTGTAGGATTGTGTAACTGAACGTGACACACATTTTACAAATAAACAATTTTGGTGTGATAAAAATAGCCCTGTGTATTGTGCACAAATCCTTTGACAATGTCGGTGCTTATGGTTATAATGTGTTTCGGAAATACAAGGATAAAGAAACACGTCATGTTCACTTAATTGTACCAGAAATATCAAATCCTGGATGCTCTGTGGGTACTGTAAAAAGCTTTATTCTCACTGTTGTGTGATACCTGTAGACGGGCCAAGGAAAATATACATGGTATCACAGAGATGCCAAAAAGGATTCATAATCAATATTAAAAAAGCAAACAACAGGCCTGAACCATGTGAGTTGAACAAAAGGCGGAACAGTAGCAAACCATTTATTTCCAGGAAAGGTTTGGTTCCAAATGCTCCAAGAATCCCACAGATTTTGGTGCTCCTGGAGAGAGGTTCCTCCCATTGTCTGCTTTGTATTGTTCAGTTCTGTGCTTTGAGTTATTTTTGAAAGGTCAGTGTGATTTACAAACCTCTATGAGGAGGGTAGCTTTTGGTTTATGTGGTGAACAGTCAGCATTGCTATTCAGTGATATTGAGGCCACATTGTGTGCCTTAGAGGTAATCTAGTTTCTTACCATTCCATCTGCCCTTGATGATTGGTTGTTTAGTAAGCATCTTCTTACACTGCTCAGTAATTTCTTCATATGAAATGATAAAGCGGGTCTGGGACAAAGCACTGAGACATATTATTGACCTGGAGTGTTTTCAAGAATATTGTACATAGAGACTTACAAAGCAATCCATCGTACAGAGCAGTGAAGGGTGGGGTTCAGAACAGAGACATCAATATTAAGGAAGAAGAGGGGGGAGATTCTCTAGAGGGAGAAGGAAGCAGGACATTGATGTTTTTCAACATCTGTATGTTTATCTATCTTTGCCACAATACGGAGTGTGGGCCAACCCTCTTTGTGGGAGGAGGCTCCTATTCGAGAGAAAATAAAAGGACTGACAGGGAACGGCACAAACAATACTGCTCAGGCAATACATTGGGAGGGAGGGCTGTGTACTGAGCTCCAGCACAGGTGTGCGACCAGTGAGAGGGTCATACACACACAGACACGAGATGACAGCCCCTCACCCAAGACACTTCATCTTCGGGCGGATACACCCGGTCCGAGCATAAAGCCATCGGAAGAGTGAGTGCAAGGTGATGTGCAAGGGATCCTGATTAAAGTCAGTGAACCCTGCATCGGGTGAGCACTGGGGGCGGGTGGGTTCTCGGATATTCGGGTGTGCTATACAGTGCTGGAGTGGCCGGTTGACTAGGCAGCATGATAAATAGCGGTGATGGATGTGTGGGTGCTCGGGGTACGGATCTTCGGTCTATGTGGGTGAATCACAGATGTTCTGCAGGGTGTCAATGTGTATGTACTGACCGTGTTAGTGTACTGGCAGTGTTTATTGGTCTGTCACTGGCATTATTTATGCTATGTTTAGTCCAATATTTATCATAAATGATTCCGTGTTCTGTTCTGGTTTTCTTCTATCGGTGTTCAATGCTTGTTTCTCCCTGTTCTGTGGTCCTCTCTGTATTGATACATACACACGTGACGCACCATATTACAGAACTTTGCTTTTACCTCTTAGGTTACGTTAATGTGCATGTGTATTGTTTGTTTAAAATAGTTTGGTACTACATCGAGTGTTTTTTTTTTTTTTTTTTTAAATCTTTTCTTTCAATAAAGCCGTTTTAGAAGTCCATGTCGTCTAACTATGTATTGATTTAGACATTCAGGAAATTGGTATCATAGTAATGTTGATTTTCTGTTTTCTAATTGAGCACCTGGTTGTATATCTATAGGGCACTGTCTGTGTTAGACACACAATGGTAGAATTGAGCTTTTCCACAATAAGCTCTATGTAAACCTGGCAAATGTTGCCAAGTAAACAGGAGCACAATGAAACAATCTATTCGAACCAGTGGAAATGTCTAGGAGTACAAGGGACATGGTTTGAAGAAGCTTAGTGGTATAATGTCAATTTAAATACTTGCTGGGTTATTCACTAAAGTGAGAATTTAAAGTGAATTTAAAAATTTAAGCAAAAGTAGCCTGACTGGAAGCATAGCTGACTTATAGAATTTTTCCAATTCAGCTATTTTGGCGTTAACTTTGAAATTCACTTTTTATTCAACTTGAAACCTCTAGACCAGGGATAGGCAACCTTTGACACTTCAGATGTCGTGTACTACATCCCCCATAATGCTGGCAAAGTCCAAAACATCTGGAGTGCCGAAGGTTGCCTATGCCTGCTCTAGACTGTAAGCTTGTTTGAACAGGATCCTTATTAACCTATTGTTCCTGTAACATTTTGTAATTGTCTCATTTATTGTTACATTTCCCCCTATTTATAATATTGTAAAGTGTTGCGGAATAAGGTGACGCTATAGAAATGACAATAATAACCCTGACAGAGTTGAAAAACAAACCCTCTCCACTATTCCAAATTTACAGCTTTTAAAAGGAGTTAAAATGTAAACCACTCCCTGTCTAGTGTAAAACAAAATAATGTTCTTCAACACCAGGGTTAGACAAATTCCTTGTTACTGTGACAGTCCTGTCATGTAATTACTCTTTGAAGAATTAATATCAGGCTTGCTAATCTGTCTGTAGGCATGGTGTTTGGACAACCCTTATCCACTCTAAATTCAGATCAAACTATTGTTTTCATCCAGGCATTTTACACACAAGTAATAGTTAATGGATCATTTTCTTTTCTTATGTTTAATTTGAGGTTATACCTTGGAAAAAGCATTACAAACATAACTGACTTTGTCTATAAGGGTAACAGCTGTCCTTCATACATTTTCATGTTGCTGTCATGAGAAAAAAAGACTCAATTATCCAGAACACCACATTTTTTTTTAAAATATCTTTAGCACTATTAATTCTTATGGCTTTAATGAATGGTGCATAGTGAGTGCATTTATATCTTCAGATAAAGTACAGCTATACCGAAAAGTATATTTCCTTGTGATTTCTGCTTTATTTGAATGTACCGGCCCGATGTTCAATGCCCATCAGCTTCACATTTGCTAATATAGTATCTGAAACTACGTGCAACAATCAGTGTGATTGTGAGAAACCGTACAATGCTAAATTGCATTTGCTCTATCTCTACTGACAACGTGTACTCAATTTCTTGGAAATTTGTCCCTAATATATTTGAAGATCACTAATGTATCAAAGTTCACCTCCCGCATTATTACGATGAGTAGAATGGTATCTAGCTTCTCATTGGTTGGGCTAGGTTAAAAATTACTTTTGACACTCCCTGTGCTGTGGACTACCATAATCGTGGTTAGCAATCACTGGCTTACAGATAACAGGGTTGTTTGCTGAAGCTGACTTGGTTTGTAACACATTTTCCTTTATATTAGATTTACAAACCGTAATTTACATAATGTGTTTAACCTGATTTTGTATAATCTTGCAATTGTTTCTCCTGATGCAGGTGGTGGACAGCAGACTCTTTTTATTTCTAACTTCTGGGTGTCGTGTTGCTCCCAAAGATGGCAGAGGGTGCACGGCTGAGAAGCAGTGCTGAGAAGATCCCAGAAGAGAAGGGGCAGGATTCTGGCTCCGGATCGAGCTCTGGGGGAGCAGGTGGAGTTGCTCTGAAGAAGGAGATTGGGCTGGTGAGTGCCTGCGGCATTATAGTGGGTAAGTCAGGCATGCATATATTTATGTTTGATGTAATTGGTTAATTATCTGTGCCTTTTGCCAAATGCAATACATGATCATCAAGTCAACAACTTCCGTGCTCTCAAATTAAATGTAGTAGTGTATATATTATTCCTTTATGCCACTACTTTTTAGAAAATGATCCTTTTCACTTAGTTACTGCTCATCATAATATTACTTACCCCACTTCTCCCTTCAGTATACCATGGATGTGCCTGTACATAGCAAACCCACATTCATTATGAATATTTTGGCACAGACATTAGCCTGTCATTGGTGTAGACTTCAGCAAGATATAACCCATACATCATACATTTGGTTTGGTGCGTCCTTTTTGTTTCTATACAACTTGAAGAATGTAGAATAAAAAAAAAATTTCAATAGGACAAATGATGTTTGCCATAAGAATCTAGTGCTTAATTATCATGTTTTGAAATGTAATGCTCTGCTCAGTTAGTATTATCAGAGCTTTTTAGATGTGAGTTTGATGAGCAGGATGTTTAAACCCAGTTCCAGTTTATGCCCTAGGCAGCTATTGGCATTAGAGATGTTAACACCGCAAGAAGACCCATGTATGAAACCTTGTAGCATTCCGATTTCAGATGCATGCAAACCACTGGCTCTCTGACACCGTGGTTCCAATCAAGCTGAAAAGGGGGTTCTACTTTTACGTTTAAGAAGTGCACAGTGTGACTGCTGTTTAGATGCAAAATATTTCATTAATATTAAGTTGTATTGAACATTGCATCTGACACTCTTGGTTGATTAAAAAAAAAAATGGCCCAGTGATTTGAGTGTAGGTCAGATCGTTGACAAGCACTAAGTTTTTTGAACACAGCACTGTAAGCACTTATTTGTCCATCACCATAAAAACAAAAGAGGCAATGAGATGGACAAATTTGCTGCAGGTAACCTTTAAAAATGCTTCAGGCAGGACTGTTGAGATTTCTACCCTAATGCATGTAGCATATGAAACATTTACATATTGGGAAATATTTATGCTTTCTATTTGCTTCAACTAGCACTGCAGTTTGCTAGGATCTCCCACTGTTACTCCTATGAGTTCATTATTCACAAACGCTGAGATAAAGGAAGAGGGTATGTCCCAAAATTAAAGACTCAGATGCCTCTGATAGGTAGCCTTTTCGAGGAAATAACCTTTAGTGTGATGTTCCTGGTGGCAATGTTTTTATTGTTTTGTGGCTACCAGGAAGAAGGATTCCTGTTACATTAATATATTCATTCTTTACAAATGCTTAGTTGTTTAGCTGCCTTTAGTGCAATATAGTCAAATAACTATCAAGTGTTCATGACCAAACCAATTTACCAAAAAGTCCACTACTGAATAAACAATTGCTAAAGGGCAAGACTTTGATTAATCGTACTGTTAATAATGTCATCTCAGATTTGATTTTCCATATGGAATAAGATTTTAATCACAGTCAGATAATGTGTGCATGTCATCCTTCAATCAGTTTTTACACCACCTAAACTTATGGATGTTTTATCAGGGATACCTTATTATTTTCATGCAGCACAAACTCCAATAATGCATGTTATAAATATCTCTTATGTGCCATAAAAACTAATAGTAATAATTGTTCAGTATTAATATACACAGAGTATTGCCAAAGTTGTCTGTTTAACCTTGACGTGTTAGTCATCGAACGTGGTTGGACAGGTTCCATATTCTTAAAGCGGCACTGTCACTGTTTTGGGGCTTTACAGAACTCACAATGTCCACTGACTGTAACATCACAGCAGGGGGTTCGGTGGCCAGAGGGACAGATAAAGGTAGGATTAACTTACCTGAACCTGTCCTTCTTGGGCGCAGCTATCTTGTTTGAAATTTCAGTGTAAGTAGGCCTCAACTTCCAACATGGTCAAAATAGGTATTCCATAAAGATTATATCTTTATGAAAAATGAATTTTTCAGGGGAGGGTATTCAGTGCTGCTTTAACTTTACTGCTAGCATCTAATCATTAGGGTGCCATTTTATAATTCTTTGTCGCTGGATCTCTTCCTGGCCCCTAAAACTGATCTGACTCATAATAATCAATGCATGCTTTATAAGTATGCATGTGTTTGCCTTAATCATTTAAGATCCAATTGAGCAAGCATTATATCGGAGTGATGACCTTAGTCGTCACATTTTTATTTCAGGCCCTGTTAGTGTGATACTGAAGGATTTATATGTGTCTCTCTATTCATGTGTGAACTCCTTCCTACAATTTATAGATAGTTTATGGCTGTCCAATGTATCCTTTTAATTGAGTTTGCACAAGCACTAATCAAGCAAAAGATTGAGGTTTGTACTTTTACTTGGTAACTGCAGGCATGCTGTAACACATGTCTACTTCATCTTTAACATCATACAAATGGAAAACAGTTTTATGTGCACAACAAAGGCTAATTTCTCATTACTCTTGGTAAAGATAGCAACCTTTGACAGGACCCCTCTTTACAGGTGTTTAAAATGTTTTTGTTTTTGTTTTTTATAGCAATATGTCTGTCATAAATTGCATAGTTCATCCAAACCCCACAATAAAGAGGAGATAGCATGCAAGTCACATCTGTTATAATGGTTAAAGGACCACTATAGTGCCAGGAAAACATACTCGTTTTCCTGGCACTATTGTGCCTCAGGGTCCCCCTCCCGCCTGGCTCTGGAAGGGGGAAAGGGGTAAAAACGTACCTTTTTTTCCAGCGCTGGGCAGGGAGCTCTCCTCCTCCGTTCCTCCCCGTCGGCTGAATACTCCTCCCCGTCGGCGCGCGCATTCAGCCGGTTGCAAAGGAAAGCGTTCACAATGCTTTCCTATGGACGCTTGCGTGCTCTCACTGTGAAAATCACAGTGAGAAGCATGCAAGCGCCTCTAGCGGCTGTCAATGAGACAGCCGCTAGAGGCTTTGGGGGAAGGCTTAACCCATTCATAAACATAGCAGTTTCTCTGAAACTGCTATGTTTATAAAAAATTGGGTTAAGCCTAGCTGGACCTGGCACCCAGACCACTTCATTAAGCTGAAGTGGTCTGGGTGCCTAGAGTGGTCCTTTAATGCAGCATGAGATATGTAATCTATGAAATCTACAAGCCAATTTTGTTGTTCCCTTAATAAGAAGTGAGAAATAACACTATGGAAGTTATTAAAGGAACACTATAGGGTCAAAAATACAAACATGTACTCCTGACACTTTACTGGTAACTTCATTGTTAGGTACATGGCCCCCCTTTCCTGCCTATCTCACTCCGGCTCTTGAGCTTAGCCATATAATGCTTTCCCATAGTAAAGCATCGGGAGACTGTAGTGCATGCAAAGCTCCACGCTAGTGGCCATCTGAGTGACTGTTAAAATAGGTGTTACTAGGTAGTAATGTAAATACTGCCTTTTGTCTAAAAAGGCAGTGTTTACATTAAAAATCATGCAGGGGTGTACTATAGACACGAGAACCACTACATTAAGCTGTAGTTGTTCTGGTGACTGTAGTGTCTCTTTAACCTTGCATGGGCTTTGATCCGAGCTGGAAATTGTGTATTCATGCACTCTACTCTTCACCAATGGCGAGTAAAAAGGTTAATGGCCAGCACGCTAAATCTTTTTTAATCAACAACTTAACGAGACAATGGTGCTCCATCACCCTAATGCCCCTTTTATTGGTGACAGAACCTGTACAAAGGACAACCCTATGATTCATGGAATACAGATGATGAAGATATCCAGCTGAAGTGTGAGAGGCACAATTTTTAAGATTCTTAGAAACTTCAGCTAGGAGATGGGTTTCAACGCTTGGTCTTTACGGATGATTTACTGTTCACTCTTTCTAATGCTATCTATTGCCTCTCCCACTTGTGGAAAGAAATGGAAAAGTATATTATACTATTCAATGTCAATGTTGAGAAAAACGAGATTTTGCCTCTCTAGATCTCGACTTGAGTAAGATTGCTACTATATTCCAAATTTCAGTGTAAGTAGGCCTCAACTTCCATATAATAACTTTAATTATCATCATAGGGACCACTTCAAGGTCAATTTCCCCCCAGCTCCTAGCTGAAGTTTCTAAGGATCTTAAAAATTGTGCCTCTCACACTTCAGCTGGATATGTCATGTTAATTTTGTACTTATTTCAGGGTTTTCCAATAACCACCCTAGTCCTTCTTTGCTAAACTTAAATATTTGTTTATTAAATTTTTTAAACAAGCTGAGGTCTTCTCCTCACTTAACCCAAGACAAGAAAAAGTGACGACATGCCGTATCTCTCCTTAGCTATTTATTGACTTAATCGATTCTTGACTGATTTCTCTTTTTGAACACAGCGCCTCTAAAAAGACAAAAGAGATGAATCTCAACCTGCAACAATCTCCATAGCCAGAAACCATAGCCAGATCTTTAATCTCACTATATATCCATCCATCACCACTTAATCATTTGTCCCACAATCCATTATTTATCCCCAACAGTTATAGCTTTCCTTTCTTTGCGAGAGGGAACTTTTTACATGCCCATTTCAGACCTGTTTAAATGATCGAACCTAGCACCACTTCCGACCCTTCTCTTAACTAACTTTGACTGTAGTTCAAGACTCATGACTTATTTTTATAATTATATAGTTTACCAATTAGTATACTGTATTGGATATCTGACTTATTGAATGTATGTTTTTGGTTTTTTTTTTTATATTTCACTTTAGTAACACTAATAAAAAGAAAAAAACTTAGAGACTTACTGTCTATGTGGAGCAGAATACCCTTTTGTCTAAACTGTAATATACATGTTACTACATAAGCATGACTCTTACAGTACGGACCTCATTCTCTACATATCTGTTACTGCAGAAAGGGAAGAATGATAGAACAGGTACCACAGGAACTAGAGAGGAAGGAAGAGACACGTAAGGCTCTCTGACCTCAAATGTGAGAAAATAGCAGTCCCACAATGCTGACAGTGCTCCCTTAGCTTTCTCATCGAGCAGTTAGTGTCACGTGAGCAATATAAAGCTGAGTAGAGGAGTGATGTGGTGTACAAGGGTCATTCATTGATGCTGATGAACCCGTATTTTGCAGGCAAGGGTGAATTCTTAATAAAACTGCTGAGAGTGCAGTTAGACGCGTGCCTTTATAGTATTTGTTCCCTTATTTAATTTTTCAACTTTGCACATTCAGCTACTTAAAGATCTACAGTTAGCACTGATTGCAGAACTAAAACCAGACTTTCACTAAAAATTGAAATATAATTAAATAATTTCTTTAGTTAGTGCTAGATCAAGGGCACTCTTGACAAAAGCTAAAAACTAGCTGCAATGTAATCCTTGCATAAAATATAGGATTATAGTGTAGCGCTTAGAAATGCAATAAATATGTGCAAAATATTCTCTCTTATGGGGTGTCACAACACCTGTAGACAAATTCACAACCAACATGCAGTGTGTTTTTCAAGTGCTCAAGCAATAAAAACATACACTTTTGTGTAATACTTTAACGGTATGTACCTTTACAAATGTGTTTTAAAAATCCTTGTGTAGTGCTTGGTGTGCAAAAAAGTGTCAATACAATATGTCAACTGTGAAAAACAGTGCATATATTTTAATAAATATTTAAATCAATATTAAAATACTTAGCAGCGATATAACTTCTCTGGATAAAGTATACCTCAGGAAGAAAATATCAGAAAAACAAATAGAGAAGACTGTTTATACAGAAAAAGAAGGACGCCACCCTTTGGTTCCAATGTAAGTAGTCTTTACAGATCCAGATGTGAATAAAAAGGTATTTTATTGAATCCAATGGTTTGAAAAAGGATACTCTAAAAATAGCATATATATTAATAAAGCAAAATCCACAGGTACTAATTTTGTGCTAAAAATGCGTTTCACCTAATCAAGGCTTCCTCTGCATACTGGTTGTCAATTTGTTGTCTACGGGTGTGGTGACACCCCAAAAGAGAATATTTTGCATATATTTTTTGTTTTTCTAAGCGGTACACATTAATCCTACATTTTTGAAGAGAGTTTTTTTGCGGTTGACACATGATAGTGGTTAGCAGCTCAAAGATTTGAGACATATTGATACAAAGAAAACATTCTAAGCACCTTCTATATATTTTAACACTTGTAATCCTGTCAGAGTTTAGTATGAAATAGTTAATAGCAATGTTTTTTTGCGTGTGTACATTTTTACCTGCGTATGGAACTGTCATATTTCAAGGGACCTGCTGTAGATTCTAACTTGGAACAGCTACCCACATGTTATAGATGCATAAAACCATACGGTATGCTTTGCAGACCATAACCAATACTGACATGTGTACTGGATTTGCTCATCTACACACTTGACTTTATAGGATTGTAGGGCTAGCTTGGAAATTGAATTGGTGCACCTGGTAACAAATCAGTATCTTAAGCCTGCAAAGTTTAAAATGTTAAGAGCTTTTACGGTGACACCCCATGATTTACAAAGCATTGGTATGAAAGGAATCGGATGATGAAACCTACCTTTGCTTGCTAAATTCTTTCAGCTTTTCATAACCTGACCTATTTTGTTTAGTGCTCATAGAAATATTTTATATATACATTTTATTTTATATCTTGTGAGTAAAATTGAAGAGGTTTTAGTAATATACATGTTCAGTGGTTTTGTCTTCAACTCCTAATACCAGGCTGCATTTGTAACATCACCTATGCAGTCCTCAGTACACACTTAATAAGGTTCCATATTAAATTAGCGAATTAACACATAATTGTCTGCACAGTTGTATATTGTGTGATTTATTTTTTTTAAATTTCTGGAAGTAAACACATCCTATCCTCATTAATGGTGGAGCATTCCCTGTAAAAATCAATTTGTGGCAATCACGTCTGTCCCCAATTGCTAACACCAGAGGTCTATGATTAAAAGCAATTACATTTTGGTGCAGGAACAGAAATTTGGGAACTGATATAGCATAACAGTATTTCACATTCATCTGACGAGAAGAAGCTTTATAGTAACAGAACAAACTAAATGTAATGTCACATCCCTGCTACGCGAACATAGATTTGATTATATTCTGTCTTTTTTTTTTCCCTTTTAATTTCCTTTTTCCTACGTTAGTCACTCTCGCAGCTATATCATCATCTCTCCCTCCCCCCATTTGCTGTGAATAATAGATAAGAAGCTGACGTGTGAGCGCTATTTATAGTTGTGACGCTGGCAAATGTGGCACTGCTGAATGTAGATCTTTAGGCGATGGATCAAGGGCAGTATGTTGTAAGAGGGTTCTTAGTCATGTATATTTTTCACACATCGCATCTCCAGTATGTTGGTGTGTCACTTTACTCTCTGCTCTCCACTCAGACAGATGTGAGTTCTGTGTCTGTATGAATGCAGGTTAACCCCTTAAGGACACATGACATGTGTGACATGTCATGATTCCCTTTTATTCCAGAAGTTTGGTCCTTAAGGGGTTAAGGTAGCAATATCTGTTCCTGGAGCAAAAAGTAAGCATGCAATTTTCTGCTGTTTTCTTTATCCAGTACATAGAACAACGCCTGCTCAGTGTTTGCTATACACATTCTTTGTGGATGTGTATGGATACCTGCATTGGAGTGGATGGCTGCCTGGCACCACTGTCTATGCACATCCTGCACTTAGTAGTGAATGTAAAGAAATTTAGTGATCATGACTTGTGATAAATACTTGTATATGCTGACCCAGTACATCAACTGTAGGCACTGTCCTGGTGTTTGTGGGTCATTAGTCATAAACATGACTGAGATATTTCTACTGCTGTAATACTGAAGAATCATTCGGTAAAGGCAGCCATAGTTATAACTTCTGGCATATACGGTATGTCCTCTTGAATGAATTATGTAAAACCTGTCACCTGTTTATACCTTGTTTTCTCTCTAAATCTCTTCATAGACAGTAATTAAAGGTCTAGAACGAAGACCAGTTATTAGCATTTTTTTAGGTAATAGAGTCAAGACCAAAGATAGAGATGGATCAAAGGTTGAGAAACTGCAAAGTCAGGCATATCAACAGGACAACAGCATTATACTGAGGGCAAAGTCACACAGTGCAGTGCTGAAGCAGTTAGCGCTTTGAATGTTGTCTTGTTTCCTTATATTATTTGAACCTCAAGCATGAAACCTGCCTATTGAACTCTTCACTGGAAACAGTTAAATGGGGAGCACATCATAAACCCCTTGGAAGCTGAGATAATAATGTACCAGTGTTATTGCATTTTTTTTTTCCAGTAATCGCAGAAAATGCCTCTGAGTAAGAAGTGGACCTCACTGTGCGTCATAATCCCTCTGCCTGTGCATGATTAAAATCCCCAACCCCCACAGCACCAAAATTGCCAGCTCTTTATAATAGAAGATTTTTTTCACTTGTTTACAACCCATGTTTCTGAGATCCTTTTTGAATCCACCTGCAAGTGGATAAATGACTTTTTAATTTTTGTAAAATTGCTGCCGCTAAGCTGTAGGAAAGCAGAATTGCTAAACCATAGTACTAAGATTGTGTTCATCTGTGGAAATTTGCAGTACTGTGACAGTGACCAAATTTATCCTGCATATGCACAAGTGATCCATACTCCACCCTGTTTGTACATTGTCTTGAACTCTTTATTGCAGGATTACTATTATCATTATTTATAAAGTGCCAACAAATTCTAAACTCTTCCTTCATCATATAGATGTAGCTTTCCTTCTCCCAATATAATAGCACTGTATACAAATATGGTCTGAAAGCTCTAAATAAAAATACTTAAAATTCATATAGAGCTGCAATTAAAAAAAACAGCTTTATACATGTAAAGGACAGAGCGCACACACAGACATGTGTGTGAAACTGAACCGTGCTAATCTTAAAATGGTAATACAAATGAAAAATATTAAAGCAATTCATTTGGACATTAAAAAAAAAAAAAACTTTATTTTTAAAAAGGGACAAACCAGTCCAGTCCACATTAAAAAGGTCCAAAGTCCAAAATGTTTAACAAGTAAAAATGTTATAAAGTGCCGTCGGGGAATACTCTCTGCAATTTGCCTTGAGATTTTGTATGAACTCATAGTGGGCATCAAAGACAGAAAAAACAAAAAACAAAACTATTGCGCAAAAATGTTATGTACATAATACCGCACCAGTAAAATTATGCTTACATGGATAAGTGAGTATGGTAGCACTGATAAATTCCCATAATTGAACTCCATGCAGAAATTTCTGAAATTAACTTTCATAGAATCGCAAGACTCCGCCAAGGCGGTTTGCCACAATTCCAATGTTTGGGCTGTCTATTGAGTAGCCTCGATCTGCTCCTTGTTTCAACTACCTATGCTTGTGTTCTGTTGCCTGTTGTATAATCCTTCTCTCACGACCAATACTTCCAATTGGTATCCTTTTGAGAGAAATCCACTCTGCGTTGTGTTTTAATAGTGAATGTAATATCCCTGTGTCACCTCTTCCAAGAACTAACATATATCTTTATCCCCTTGTCCAGATAAATATATGACTAGCACTACTAAGGTATTCTACCCGATATTACAAATAAACAGCCAACACCATAGTTCTTACCAGAGCGAAATCTTTACTTAGAATCTGCCCAATTAAATATTACAGAAGAAGAATGTTAGAGTTCTAGTATTACAGAGTTACAATACATTCATAACACTCACACATTCCAACTATCTAATAATATCTACTGTATGGTGTATGTGCTGTGAGATGTTGTATACAGCATATGTGTCTTACCAAACCTAATCTAATGTGATGTCAGTATCTTCTATTTTTAAAGGAATTGGTTCCTCAACTCAATTGATATGTAAATGTGATTTACTTTCCCAAGGTCCAAAGTGTTGTCTATCCTGTTATTTTATTTAAGTGTTTACTCTCCCAGCCATCCCTTTGCCTCTAACCTAAGGTGTGTTTTCCTAGATAGAGACTCCTTTGAAGACCAGTTGATATGTAAATGTGATCAGTGCCTTTCAGTTGCTGTATCTTTCCAACTATCTAAACAGAAACTCCCTTTGAAGATAATTCCTGACCTCCCATACACACAGACTTAATCAAGCACATATTAAAAAGATATATAATCATAATATTTCCCCAACATTGCCAAGTGACCAGATCCATTTTTTTTCTCACAAGAGGCTTTCTCAATGGTATGTCCATACAACATCTTAGCGATCTATATTTGAGGTTAGCTCACATTATAGGTTCTTTTCAATATTTTATTCAATAGTTTGATTTCTAGAGTAATAATGATTCACCTGGTTGTGGGAGCAGTGAGGACGGAATGAGACATAGTGGGAACAGAATTCCACAGAAGAAAAGGACTGCATTCGTTCCAGGACCACAGGTTGTTTAGCTGAAGCAGGGCCAACAATTTCAATGCATAAAATATGTCAAAAAATAGGCTTCAGGCAGTCACTGGGTTCAAGGTGTAAAATAGTTTTATTGGATCATGTACAGAGCAATTTTTCAACTTTAACAAAGGTCTTTATCAAGCTAACACCACATAGAACATCACACTCGCTCTCTCACTCTCTCTATAGTAAACCAATTAGTGTTCATAATAACTTACCCCATCCTTCCAGTTGTGATAAGGGACAAGGAGACAGACAATAAAGTATGGCGACAAAATCATCCGTGGAACGATGAAAAAAAACAAACACGTCCACTGTTGGTGAAACACAAGAGATACACCATGCCAGTAAAAGCGCTAAAGCACGAACCACGTAAAGGCGTGTAGACGTCATAATAGTGCAAGGCTTAAAGTCCAAATGCAGCCTCGTAAAAGATAGAAAAGCGCAAACACACAGGCAAAATAAATAAAAAAGAGTTTTGAATGAAACTACCAAACTGAACAAGAGACACTTCGCCATGGTAGATAGGAAAGCGCAAGAGCACATGCCCACAGGCAAAAAAAAAAATTATAATCGAAATAAAAAGAAAATATGGTTTCTACCATGCTAGAAAAAAAGAACGGTGCACCCCCGCACAGGATAAGACCAGACACGTACGGCAATACCGTACCCTCTCCTTTCCCTATCTTCCTCACCCTTTTCTATTTTCACTAATCAACTCCCACCCATACACCCTAACCACCCCACGCCCACACAGGTCTTGGACAAAGACTGAGGCGACATGTATGCATCCTCAAACCCACACCCAAAACGTGAATCATGGGAACAGAGGTGGGAGTAAACCCCACCCCCCAAAACACATACACCAGTCTCACCGCAGCGAAACTCCAGAGCGACCCGAACATCAATCTGGGCCACGAGCGCACACCGAACCTCAAAGACCATGGCCCTTAAAGTATCCTCACTAAATGTTAAAGGCCTCAACGCCCCACGTAAGCGACGCACACTTTTTAGAGAATTGAAAAGATTAAATCCTGACATAGCATTCATACAGGAGACACACCTATCTCGATCCGCACAGGTCTCCCTCCGTGATAACACATACCGCCTAGTCGCAGAGGTACAAACCTTCCATAAACATAACGGAGTAGCAATTTTAGTACACAAACGATGCCCAATACACGTAACCCAAGTGACTCCTGACCCAGACGGTAGATACGTCCTAGCAACCGGCTGGATTCATTCACAACCCATTCACTTACTCAACATTTATGCTTCCAACACACCAACACCACAATTCTGGAACCAGATGTCGACATGGTCTTTTCACTGCCCACCGTGATTATCCTCCTAGGGGGCGACCTAAATGCTACTCCCGCCCCAGCAGCAGATAGAAGCTCATGCCCGGGGCTGATCAGATCCCATGGCAAAGGCACACAAGACAAACAACTACACCACTTCATCCGTAAAACAGGCCTCATAGACGCATGGAGGACACAACACCCCTGCCACAAAGATTACACCTATTACTCGCTGCCCCACGACACATACTCATGCATAGACATGTTCTTAACTAACCACGCAGGCTACACAAAAACACACAAAAATGAAATAGGTCAGACCATGCGGACATCGCAATCTACCTTAGCGGCCTCCATAGCTCTACCCCGTGGACGTGGAGACTCAACATGTCCCTCCTCAAAGATCCCCAAGTCGTTGACGACATTCAAAAACAGATAAACACATACTTTACAGAAAACCTAACACCAAATATCCCCATGACCACGGTATGGGCAGCCCACAAAGCCGTGATCCGGGTCTCCCTTATCAAAATAGCGACTCTCAAAAAACACAAACTCACTCAACTGCTAAAAACCCTCCGTACAGCGGAGCAACGCCATAAAACCGACCCAAATCCCCAAACACTACAACTACTCCAAAACACCCGCATTACTATCAGACAGTTACTCATAGATGACACAGCCCGAGCACTCACATGGTCGAAAGGGACATTCTACAACAAATCCAACAAAATGGATATATTACTAGCCCGCACGCTATGACCCAGAACCCAACACCCCCATATCACAACGATAAGAGCCCCAGATAGCACATTGAAGACCTCTCCGACTGAAATAGCCCAGATCTTCACAACCTTCTATACAACGTTATACAACTATTCCCCACAAGATAACATAGTTGCATAGTTACATAGCTGAAAAGAGACTTGCGTCCATCAAGTTCAGCCTTCCTCACATATGTTGTTGCTGTTGATCCAAAAGAAGGCAAAAAACCTAGTCTGAAGCGCTTCCAATTTTGCCACAAACTAGGAAAAAATTCCTTCTTGACCCCAAAATAGCAGTCAGATGTCTCCTTGGATCAAGCAGCTATTACCCCACTAATTAGAAATTATATTCCTGTATGTTTTGTTTTTGTAAGTATTTATCCAATTGCAGTTTAAACCTCTGTAGTGACTCTGACAAAACCACCTCTTCAGGCAGAGAATTCCATATCCTTATTGCTCTTACAGTAAAAAAAAACTTTTCTTTGCCTTAGATTAAATCTCCTTTCTTCCAGCCTAAATCTGTGACCTCGTGTCTTATGTATGGCCCTGTTTATGAATAGATTTCCAGATAAAGGTTTGAACTGGCCCTGAATATATTTGTATAAAGTTATCATATCCTCTCTCAGGTGCCGTTTTTCCAAACTAAACAGATTTAATTTTTTTAACCTTTCTTCATAACTAAAATGTTCCATTCCTTTTATCAATTTTGTAGCTCGTCTCTGGACTTTTTCTAGTGCCATGATATCTTTCTTTAGAACAGGTGCCCAAAATTGCACAGCATACTCAAGGTGTGGTCTTACCAGCGATTTATAAAGAGGCAAAATTATATTTTCATCCCGAGAATGTATGCCACTATTTATACATGACAAAACCTTACTGGCCTTAGCAACTGCAGATTGACATTGCATATTGCTGCCTAATTTGTTATCTATAACAATTCCCAAATCCTTCTCGTGCGTGGTTATCCCTAATTCACTATCATTTAGTGTGTAAGTTGCTTATGCATTCTTAACCCCGAAGTGCATAACTTTGCATTTCTCTACTTTAAATTTCATGTGCCATTTTAGTGCTCAGTCCCCCAATCTATCCAAATCCTTCTGCAGCAAAGCAATATCCTGCTCACATTTTATTACTTTACAAAGTTTTGTGTCATCTGCAAACACTGATACATGGCTTTCAATGCCTATTTCAAGATCATTTATAAATATGTTAAATAAAAGCGGTCCCAAAACAGAACCCTGAGGGACACCACTTACCACTTTTGTCCAGCCTGAAAATTTACCATTAATTACAACTCGTTGTAATCTAGCCTTAAGCCAATGTTCTACCCAAGAACAAGAATATTCATCTAGACCAATTTCTTTTAGTTTGAAGACTAACCTATTGTGAGGAACCGTATCAAATGTCTTGGCAAAATCCAAGTAGATCACATCCACTGCAACACTACAGCTACTCCTGAGCCAATGCTCCCAACATCTTCACTCAAACGGGCAAATCTGTTAGGCTGCATGAGATCAGGACTAACTAAACCTTTTCTCTTCCCTCCCCCCCGCTTCCTCACTCCACTTTCACCCAGCTACGTGACTGTTCCCCAACGCCGATGCGAATCGGAAAATAACTGACATTTAGTTCATGCCGCCGACCAGGTAGGTTTCATACCGACAGTTATTCGAAAATACTAGATGAAACATTGACATAATATGGATGCTAGCAACCGCAAAAACACCATCTTTAGCGCTTTCACTTGACGCAGAAAAAGCGTTTGATCACGTAAAATGGCCCTTCATGTTCGCACTCTTAGAACATCTGAACATGCCCCCCCATATATCACAGCGGTACGCGCATTATACACGAATTTCTCAGCACAAATAAAGATAAACAGGACGACCTGCCCGTCATTCAACATAACCAACGGCACCCGACAGGGATGCCCCCTATCCCCGCTACTCTTTGTGCTGACTCTCGAACCACTCCTTCAAGCCATTAGGGAACATCCCCAAATTAAAGGGGTTAAAATAGAAGACCAAGAATTCCTAGTATCTGGATACGCAGACGATATCATGCTGACCTTAACCAAACCTATCCCCACGATGCGGGCATTGCTTCCACTCCTGGGAACACACGGTGAGATCTCGGCATACAAAGTAAATGTGGAAAAATTCAGTGAACTCCCCATAAACCTCACACAGACGGACATAGCCAAAATTACCTCAGACCACCACATACACGTTACACCAACTTTCCTTACATACCGTGGTATCAAATTACCAGCAGACCCTACCGTACTCCACAGACTAAACTACACACCCATAATAGACAAACTCATCTCGGACATGGAGACCTGGACGGACAAACCCATATCATGGATAGGGAGAAAACACTCAATTAAGATTAACATCTTCCCCCGAATTTTATTTCTATTCCAGGCCATACCCATCACAAAACACAATCTCATCCCACTACAACGGACAATTGATAGATTTATATGGCAGAATAAGAGACACAGAGTAGCCCGTAACATAGTATATCGCCGCAAAATGAGAGGTGGCCTAGGTCTACCCCATCTACACTTCTATTACATAGCTGCCCAGATGGCACAAATAGCCCTATGGCATACCACCCGGAGACTAGAAGGTGGGTGGATCTGGAATCGTTGCTCACGAGATCCAATCTCCCACAATTCTACATCTGGACCCCAAAAGAGCACAGGGCCCTCCCGAGAACAGCATTCCCAGCCATTACCAATTCAATTATGGGACAGATACGCCCTTAAATACGAACTAACCTCTATGACCTCCCGTCTTACCCCGATATATCGTAATAGGGCTTTCACACCAGGCATGAGACCCTGGGACTTCAAAGGCCTAGAGCAAGCCAGCCTCCAGAGGGTATACCAACTTTATACGGGCGACACGATAATCACCTTCCTAGACCTACAATCCAGAACAACCTTGACACCAGCCGACTTCTTTAGATATTTACAACTCAAAAACTACACGGCCCAAGCGACGGTGAAAACAGCAGCCAAAACCAAACCGACTTTCCTTGAGCGAATCTGCCTAGTGGAACAATATCAAAGAGGCATGATCACCCAACTGTACTCCCACCTCACGGGAGTGGGGAGAACTGCAATACACCGACAAATGGGAAACAGACTTGGGGGAATCTTTAGAGGGTATTGATTGGCAGGATATATGGGAAGCCAACACCAAAACCTCCGTCTGCGTCACGATGCAGGAACAGGCTTGTAAAACAATGCTCAGATGGTACATTACCCCGGTCCAATTGTATCACATGAAAAAAACACCTACAGATCTCTGCTGGCGTAACTGCGGAGAAAAAGGGACATACACCCACATGTGGTGGTCCTGCCCCACAATTAAACTCTTCTGGAAAGGCATCCAAACGCTCACATCACAAATACTACATAGACCAGTAGACCTTAACCCATGGACATTATTCCTGGCCAAGCCCCTTGACAATTGGTCCAGACCAGAACAACAATTGATAAAAAAAATAGCATTGGCAGATAGAAAAGCCCTAGCCCAAACATGGTTACGACCCATCCCCTCCCCCCCCAAATGTCTACAGTGCTCAACAAAATTAAAGAGTGTCACCTCATGGATAAATTGACGGCCCAAATAAGAGGCTCACTGAAAACATTCACTAAGACATGGGAAAATTACGTTGACAAACAATAACTCACCCCGTCCTCATATACCAAAACCCGCCTTCCCACTCCCTATCATTAGGCCGAATTAACCGGTACCCTGGCCTATAAGTTCAACACACCAAAGCCACCAAAATAAGATGGCAACTTAAACATACTGTTATGATATTATTCATGTTTTACGTTACCACTTGTTGTTCTTTCCATTTATAATACTTATAAAACCAATGACAGACAGATCTTTAGCACAGATGATGCACACAAAATGCCATGAACACCTCAAGAACCACCTAATGGCAATACATACTTCTTGAATTCACAATGAGGCTTCTGCGCAAGCCATATGACTGCATTGCGTAACTTTCTCTGTCATTGCAAAAATAAAGAATTATAAAAAAAATTAAAAATGCCAAACATTCACAGCTAAAAATCATACTGATGTGCAAAATTATTTGCGAAACATCAAAAGATGCGTATGTGCGATATAATTCATAACTTGCATCTAGTGGTAAGTGAATACAAAATCTGAAAAAAAGACTGAATATATTTTAAATATAAAGTGCAATCATAAAGCAGTTCATATTATTTTAATCATAGACTGATTCTTAAAGAAAGACCTATAGTTACTAGAACTACAGCTTAATGTAGTTTTTCTGGTGTCTACTGCCTGTCCCTGCAGGCTTTTTAATGTAAAAACTGCCTTTTCAGACAAAAGACAGTGCTTACATTACTGCCTAGTAACGCCTCTAGTGGCATACTGCATGGAGGTGCTGAAAGTTCCTCATTGATTCAATGCATCTCAATGAGTAGATGCTGATTGGTGCAGCGCAGCGTTTTGCCAAGCATGAGCAAGAGCTCATTGGAAAGCATTGGATTGGCTGAAACCATCAAGTATGATGATCTCAGTCAAGGGGGCTGGGCGGAGTCAGCCGAGAGGAGACCCGCGCTGTACTTGGGGGGGGGGAAAAAAGGGGAAAATCAACAAGAAACTTGACGGCAACTAGCTTGTGGATAAGTTAAGGGTGTAAAAGAGAACCAGTACCAAAAGTTCACAAGAATAAAATATTAAACGTATTCTGTCAGTTTAACCCCTTAAAGGACCACTATAGTGCCAGGAAAACATACTCGTTTTCCTGGCACTATAGTGCCCTGAGGGTGCCCCCAACCTTAGGGTCCCCCTCCCGCCGGGCTCTGGGGAGAGGAAGGGGTTAAACGTAGCTTTCTCCAGCGCCGGGCGGGGAGCTCTCCTCCTCCTCTCCTCTCTCTTCTCATCCTCCTCGGCTGAATGCACATGCGCGGGAGGAGCCGCGCGCGCATTCAGCCAGTCCATAGGAAAGCATTCACAATGCTTTCCTATGGACGCTGGCGTCCTCTCACTGTGAAAATCACAGTGAGAAGCACGCAAGCGCCTCTAGCGGCTGTCAAGAGACCGCCACTAGAGGCTGGATTAACCCTAAAATAAACATAGCAGTTTCTCTGAAACTGCTAGGTTTAAAAAAAAAAAAAAAGTTAACCCTAGCTGGACCTGGAACCCAGACCACTTCATTAAGCTGAAGTGGTCTGGGTGCTTATAGTGGTCCTTTAAGGACACATGACATGTGACATGTCATTATTCCCTTTTATTCCAGAAGTTTGGTCCTTTAAGGGGTTAAAGATAAGTACTAAAGATTACTGCTAATGATAAAAAGTTAAAACACTCCTACTCAGATTAATGTCAATAGAATGTCCTTTAGGGTATAGCGTAACCAGTCTTCTGATCCAAAATGCCTCTCGTAGCAGAAATTGTTTACTATTATGCCCGTTCTTTGGGTTTCTGGAACATGTTCAGTAATCTGAAATTTAAATTGAGAGACATGTGTAATGGGCCCAAAATCCATTGGCATCCACCATTTTATAAGAGGAGCCATGGCCACAGCAATAAGTGCAGTTGCATAGCTAAGGTTTAAACTGGGGCTTACAGCCCTATCCTCAGGTTGAAAGGTTCAGTCTCATGATAGCCAGAGCTGTGAGGCAAGAAATTCTTATCACAAGACACTGTCTGAGTTTAGGTATTATAACAACAATCCATAGTAGACTTCACTCTGATCTCCACAATGCAATGTGAAGGATCATTATTATTTTCTTGATGATTGTGTCTGCATGCCTGAGCAAGTAAGCTAAGGGAGTTTGGAAGGCAAACCATGCCAACATACTTAATATATGCATTTCAGAGACTTACACAGCCAGTGAACTGTAACACAGAGCTTGACAGATCCCAGAAGCCTGGAAGCCATTGACCCTAACATTTTATTTTATTTTATTTTATTGCTGGTACATCATTTTTGCCTATTTTACTACCAATTTTCCTTGGCTCCAAAAACAAAACTAGTAGACTGTAAGTGAAAGTAAAATACAAAAATATGGTCTGCGAGCTAACCAATTTTATCGGAGCCACTAACAGTTTATATAGTAACCAAAATTGTTGGACAGACTTAGTTTTTTTTGGAGAGGGACTGCATGTACCCCTGCTTCCTATATTTATGGTAGCTGTGTGTGTGTGTGTGTGTGTAGGGAGAGAGAGGTATATATCTCTATCTCCTTCAAAAAATACGGCACTCTAGATGTCCTGATGGAACTGAAACGTTGACTTGGATTTTCTTAATTAAAGAAAGATTTGAAAAGCCTAGAGTGCCGGTATTTTTTTTTTCAAGGTTATCTATTATGCTGCTGGGCACTGGGTTCTGGACTTAAGGTTGGATTGCAAGTGTTGGGATTTGTTTGTGTGTGTACCCGTATATACTCGAGTAGAAGCCGAGTTTTTCAGCACATTTTTTGTGCTGAAAAACCCCAACTCGGCTTATACTCGAGTCAGTCTGTATTATGGCAATTTACACTGTCATAATACAGACCAGGACCGCCGGGCTCATTGCAAGCCCGGCGGTCCTGTTGGGGGCTGGCAGTGAGCTCTTACTTACCTTCCTGCAGCTCCTTCAGAGAGCTCTTACTTACACCAACGGAGCTGACCTGACGGAGGAGAAGGAGCTGACAGGAGCTGCAGGAAGGTAAGTAACAGCTCGCTGTCACACTGAACTGCCAATGCCACTGGACCACCAGGGATTCCATATTATTATTTTAATATTATTTTAATAATATTATTAAAATAATATAATCTTAAAATAATAACATTATTTTATTATTATATTATTATTAGGGAGGGGGGACAAAAAACATTTTAAAAAATAATGCAAATATTAATATAATAATAATAATAATATAGTAATATTATTATTTTAATATATTATTTTAATAACAATATTTTATTATTATATTATATTAATATTTGCATTATTTTATTTTAAATGCTTTTTGTCTCCCCTCCCTGGCCAGGCAACAAGCAGGGAGGGGGGACAAAAAAACATTTAAAAAAATAATAATGCAAATATTAATAATAATAATATAGTAATATTTTAATATTATATTATTTTAATAACAATATTTTATTATATTATTATTTTAATATTTGCATTATTTGTTTTTTAAATGTGTTTTTTGTCCCCCCTCCCTGGCCAGGCAACAAGCAGGGAGGAGGGACAAAAAAAAATTAAAAACAGTTATGCAAATATTAAAATAATAATAATAATAATAATAATAATATAATAATAAAATAATATTATTAAAATAATATAATATTAAAATAAAAAAAATTCAAATTAAAATGCCCTCCTCTCACCCAGTTTACACACACTGCACAAACACACACTGCATTCATTATATATACACACTGCATTCATTATATACACACACAAACACACACTCTGCATTCATTCTATACACACACTGTAAATAAATATTCAATTTATGTAATTTTATTGGGATCTAATTTTATTTAGAAATTTACCAGTAGCTGCTGCATTTCCCACCCTAGGCTTATACTCGAGTCAATGAGTTTTCCCAGTTTTTTGTGGTAAAATTAGGGGCCTCGGCTTATATTCGGGTTGGCTTATACTCGAGTATATACGATAATATGGGCATTTTGTGCATTTTTATCTGCATTTTGTTGCTGCCACCTTAACGCATCTCACCATGACAATTACATGGTTATTCACTTAACCCCTTAAGGACACATGACATGTGTGACATGTCATGATTCCCTTTTATTCCAGAAGTTTGGTCCTTAAGGGGTTAAAGGACCACTATAGTGCCAGGAAAACATACTAGTTTTCCTGGCACTATAGTGCCCTGAGGGTGCCCCCCCCCCTCGGGGTCCCCCTCCCACTGGGCTCTGGGGAGAGGAAGGGGTTAAAATCTTACCTTTCTCCAGTGCCGGGCGGGGAGCTCTCCTCTTTCATAGCGACGTCATTAGCTGAATGAGCATGCGCGGCAGGAGCCGCGCATTCAGCCAGTTCATAGGAAAGCATTTACAATGCTTTCCCATGGACGTTGGCGTCTTCTCACTGTGATTTTCACAGTGAGAAGCACGCAAGCGCCTCTAGCGGCTGTCAATGAGACAGCCACTAGAGGCTGGATTAACCCTATTATAAACATAGCAGTTTCTCTGAAACTGCTATGTTTATAATAAAAAAGGGTTAACCCTAGCTGGAGGTGGCACCCAGACCACTTCATTAAGCTGAAGTGGTCTGGGTGCCTATAGTGGTCCTTTAAGGGAGAATTTAGTGAATTGCAAATTGTGGTCGGAGAAATATATATTAATCATCCTTCAGTATTCTTTTGAGGAGTTTTCTTGCTGAATCAAAACATTTTAAGAAGTGAAATAATCTTATCAGTTTTTTACCTCCCCCTCTCCTGCACATCACTATCTGTCCTTGTGTGTCTGTAAAACCAATCAGTAATACAAACAATACACTCCCATAGGATGTAGACCTGGAGAGCCAAAGGTTATGTATCAGCTTCCGAAAGTAATAATTTAGGTTTCCATACACTAATTTTCAGACATGTGATAACACTTTTACACTCATCTCTGTGTAAGAGAAAATCTGCAAAGTGTGAGCCCTATTTTATAATATGGGTTTTCTATCTGAAAAAAAAAAAATCAATGTATGTTCGTGTCTTACACTGTTCTCCTCTCATGTGTAATATAGTTGGTAGTTGAGGTTACTAGTCACTAGTTACACTTAGTGAAGATTAATAAAAATGGTAACTTTCACTGGAGAAACAATCAATAATATGAAAATAAAATAATAGAAAAAACACATGCACAATTGTTAGACTTGTATTATGCAAAAATACAGAGCTACTTAATGAAAATTCTTGCCTTGCATACTCTCACATTTAAAGGGGCTTACTTACTAAACTGGAAATTGTGGAACATTGATGAGGTAATTTGAAATTAGGCCAACCTTTATCAGTGTACTATTTTGGGCTAAAATTAGCAATTTTAACATTTTCAAGAATAGTTAAAAAATCAGAAGATTCATCAACAGCGTTTTAAGATAATTACCACCTCTATCAGCCTACATAACCTATTTTTTTTCTCTTCACGTAGGTAATATCATCGGCTCTGGTATATTCGTATCCCCTAAGGGAGTGCTGGAAAATGCAGGTTCTGTGGGGATGGCACTAATTGTGTGGATTGTCACAGGTGTAATCACAGCAGTTGGTGCTCTCTGTTATGCTGAGCTTGGGGTCACTATTCCCAAATCTGGAGGAGATTACTCCTATGTGAAGGACATTTTTGGAGGACTTGCAGGGTATGTAGGATATTTGTTAATATTTATTTGCTGAAGTCATGGCAAATGAACTGGTTGGCTCACTGAAGCTGGAACTGTATGGGATTGTACCTGCTAAACTGTTTATTTTTAAGATTACCTTTATTTCCTCATAGGTTCCTAAGGCTATGGATTGCAGTGCTGGTTATCTACCCTACAAACCAGGCAGTCATTGCCCTGACCTTCTCAAACTATGTCCTGCAGCCTCTCTTCCCAACCTGCTTTGCACCGGAATCTGGTCTTCGTCTCTTGGCAGCTGTCTGTTTGTGTAAGTAAACCTGAGATTTCTGTATTGAACCTTGCCAGAGCTGAATTAACTATAATCTTAATAGCTGATTTTTATTTTTTTTTTATTTTTTTTCCTGGGTGCCAGGTCCATCTAGGGTTAACCCTGCAGCTGTAACATAGCTATGTTTACATTAGGGTTAATCCAGCCTCTAGTGGCTGTCTCATTGACAGCCGCTGGAGGCGCTTCCGCGCTTCTCACTGTGATTTTCACAGTGAGAAGACGCTGCCGTCCATAGGGTAGCATTAAGAAATGCTTTCGTATGGACTGATTGAATGAGCGTGCGGCTCTAGCTCTGCATGTGCATTTGGTGGATGACGTCGGAAGAGGGAGGAGAGTCCCCAGCGCCAAGGGAGCTCGGCGCTGGAGAAAGGTAAGAATTTAACCCCTTCCTCTCCCTTCAGTCTGGCGGGAGTGGGACCCTGAGGGTGGGGGGACCCAAAGACCCTACAGTGCCAGGAAAACGAGTTTGTTTTCCTGGCACTATAGTGATCCTTTAACTGAATGTTTATTATTTATTTTTTTGCAAATACTTTTTTTTTTTATTAAAGTAAATGCACAAAATATACATGCCAGTCAGAATTTTTTTTATGATTTCAAGAATATATATGTCTATGTGTGTAGTGGATGCAGTGAGGATATTTCATTAGTGAATGCAGTATGTGTGTTTGTGCCGTGAGTGTTTGTGTAGTGTGGGTGTGTATATAATGAATGCAGTGTGTGTTTGTGCAGTGAGTGTTTTGTTTGGTATGTTAAGTGTGTAAAATGGGGGTGAGGGGGTTATTATTTTTGAATTTATGTTTTTGTCCCCCTCCCTGCTTATATAGCATTCACTGGTGGTCCGTTGGCATGGACTGTGCAGAGGGGGCCCAGCAACACTCTTGCTCACCTTCCCAGCAGCTCCCCTGTCTAACTGTCATGGCTTGTGTGCTGCATGGAGCATCGCCATGGTAACCCTTATCTTTATTGGTCAATATTGCTGAAAATACAGCATATCGGCCAATATTATGGGCCAGACCGATAATTGGTCGATCCCTAATGCCTAATCCCTAATAATTTGTATTACTCAGTTGTGTGGGTTATGTGTTACTGATTTTGGTTCATAGGAATTCTTAATCCCTCTAGATTAAAATTCTATGACACTTTTCACTTAAGTAATAGTGCATTTACTCTGATGCTGTTTCCTTTCTTAAATATATGCGCTACACAGGGACAGATTAGTTTGGTTAGTCTTTACAAAGCACAATTACCTCCAGGTTACCAAGGAATATTCAAATACAGGTATCTGAAAGCTCCAGTAAACCCTTGTCTGATATCCCTTTGCTATCATTCGTAATCAGTTAAGTGTTTATTGGACCTTGGTTCTGGCCCTGGAATTCATCACTGCAGATAGGGGGAGGAGGTGTTTTGGACTGCACTCGAGGGACATGGTGCCAAGCTGACGGCAAAAGAAGATCCTGCTCAAACTGGTTCCCTGGAAGCTCATAGAATAGGGGGGTGGTGTGGAGGATCTGGATTATGCAAGCACAGCTGGGTCTGAAATGTCATTATTCAGACAGCCTGATTACTAAGGCTGAGTCAGCAAGAATGGAGCAAGAGGAGAAAATAATAGACTTATCCAGTGTTTATGTGGGACCCAGAGGCGTTTGAGTTGCCAGGAGAGACTAGCGCTTGTTTTTCAAGTACATACAATACCTGGAGCCATTTCACTAAACTGCGGTTTAATATTTAACAAATGCTTTCTTTTTTTTATACAGATATTTTATTGCTCATTAAAATAAGTATTCAAGACACTCAGCAGTATGAAAGTAAAGTAGCTTATTGTTGGGCAGGGTGCTAAATACAGTTTATCTCTGTATTAATCGGTGTTCAACAATGCTCACAGACTTTACTTGTTCCTGATTTCAGTTTCTCCTTCAGACCTCCTTGTACTGCAGGGTTACTGATAATTGGAATGCCGGTATTAGTATGTAACAAAAGGTTACTGCAGGACAAGTCACTGTAGCCATTGATTCAAATTATGTATTACACTAAATGATAGTGTGGCAGTGGAGCCTGCAGGCATATAGTCTGGCGTGCTGTATCCACATGGTTTGATAGTGTTAAGAATAGCAGCAATAATACTTAACATTTGACTCTGACAGGAGAACAGCTCAGTGTTTACAGGTGTGGAATCTGTACTGCTTGTTTTAGATTAGCACAGAATAAAGTTCCTCAGCCCTGGTGTTAAATAAGTATAATGATAAACTGTGCATTTGAAATTTTTACCATCTTATTCCCCTGAAGACCCAGTTTAGCAGATTTATTTTTAAATTATTAAATGCATTGTTTCCTTACAGTCTTTTTCTGACATTCGATCAGATCTTTAAATTGCATTATGTCATATTATATGTTGTTTTTTTAGCTTGGCTGTTTTCTCCTCTCCCCCATCTCTGGTTATTTCTGGTTTTCTTTCCCACGTGATCGATTCTACCCTCCCCTCCCATCTGTCTTCTAGTATTCTTGAGCTTGAAAACAAGCTCCTTAAGCTGGCAGGATGCCTTTATCAGCACTAGGATATTTTACATGTACAGGAATAACCTCCAAATATTGATCTAGGGGAAATGACGACCGTGTACCTCATCTGGGAATTATCATTGCCGAGAGGAATATAAGAGAGAAATGGAGAGGGAGAGTCTGTGTGTTAAGAGCAGCGATGGCAGCGGTTTAATGATGTAGAGAAACACTGACAAATACTTGTTTTTTTTTCTCTTTCTCTTCATAACTGGATCTGTTTTTATTGTAAAAGAGTACTACCTAAAGTTAACCTGCAGTGGAAAGTTGTGTCCTTGCATGTAAGGATTAACTGCAATAAAGAGAGTTAATTTCATAATTCCATCCCACATACAGAAGTAATTTGCTACTTCTCCCACTTTGAGGTTACATAGTTATATAGGCTGAAAAATTGACAGCACCTTGTTGCCTAGTTTGTTGTCTATATCAATTCCCAAATTCTTCTCATTTGTGTTATCCCTAATTCACTACAATTTACGTTGTAAGTTGCTTGTGTATTCTTCACCCCAAAGTGCATAACTTTGCATTTATCTATATTAAATTGCATCTGCCTTTCAAATATCCTGTCCACTAAACTAGCTAAATCCTTCGTCAACAAAAAAATATCCTGCTTGCATTGTATTAACTTACCAAGTTTTGTGTCAACTGTAAACACCAACACGTGACTTTAAATGCCTATTTAAAGATAGTTTATAAATATATTTAATTAAAAAAGTTATTGTTTCTGTACTAAAAAACCTGCCATCTAAATGTAATTATAGACATATGATTTGTTAGCAACATCACCACGCTTGCGTTATATTTTATATTAAAGAGACAGCTGTGATAGCAGCTTTAGTAAATTGGTATATTAATTTTCCATTATTTGTATGTGTCAATTGCGAGTCATTCGGAGTATGTAATCTGTATATTGTAAAGAAATTCACCTCTCATTTTCCTTTGTTTGTACCACAAACTCACCACCTTTGCATTAAATATTGTACTATGCAGTAAAGGACCTCTAATTTGTTCCACGGCCACTGTGCAAGACATATAAGTCTGTAATAGACTGTGATGCTATCTCTGCAGTGGGTGAAACTCTGTTTAGTAATTGCAATGTAGGCCTCGATTTAATAGGCTTTACAAATGATGCAATATTGTTGGAATATCCACAAAAATCCCAAAGACTTTAAATAGTGACTTCTGTAGACAAAATAATTGGGAAAGTTTTTCTAAAAGTATGGAATCATTTGGAAAGCTTATTAAATGGAAGGCAATAGTGTCATTATAGTATAACAGCTAGCAGTGAGTTTGTAGGGTGGGTTGGTGGCGGTTTCTGACCACTGTTTATCAACCCTCAGCACCCCTATACACACCCTGCCTCTATGTGTGCGTTATCGCTGCCTGACTGATCTTCTTCAATTCCTTATGCATATATTCCTTATCAATGAACAGGGTGATGGGCAGGTTCCATTATCATATTTTTACAGGAACGGATACTGGGTGTTGACAGAGAAGGGCTAATTGTTTCACCTCACCCCCTCAGTCTTCCTGTCTCATGCATAAACTTGCTGTTTAGGAGTATTTGTGTTGTATTGGTAGGCAAAGCATTTCGTGCCTAGACTTGGGGCACAGGAAATAGTACCAGATATGCTTCACACAATGGGATACGTGGGAAACCTACTGTTACTGCTGGACAACTTTTCCAAGATTTATATGCCAGTCCTTGAGAAATGTAATCCAACGGCATCTGGAGAACTTGTAAACATGTTCCAATATTGTAATGTGGAACTACTAGTACCAAGGAAACACATGGCTCGTTTCTGCTTTTTCATTTGGTGATAGCTTCACTTTAAGCACATTGTCCCACTTTTTTGTTTAGGGGATTTGTTTGCACCAGGGTCTACAAATCTACTTCAACATGCTTGGTGTTCTTGTTTTGGATTGGATACTCTGCTTGCATAACACTAGTATGCTTTCATGCCCAGGTTATAGGCGTGTGCAGGGAGCGTGATAGGGTTGCCTGGGCACACCCTAATGCAGGGCCAAATTACCATTTATGCCCCCTGGCTATGTCTGTATGGCACTATTGTGTGAGTTGGGATTAGTTTATTATGTTTTTGAAGCAAACATCTGTAAACACCTAGTTAACCTTAGAGCAAACGTGCATTTTGTACCTCTTTTCTAAATTTGTATTTTTGAAGCAAATTTTAGATTAGTAATTTTATCTGGGTGCACATCCTAATGCAATGTGCTGTGCGCACTTATGCCCGGGTTTATTACATACGGTGGAACAACCAGCAACCAAAACTGTTAACACTGTTGTGAGCTCTATAATTTGCACCGAGGTCAATACGATCTGTGGTGTCTTTAGGTAATAACAGTAGCTTGCACTGCGTATTGCACGTGGTGCTTTCTATAAAATAGGATGAGCCTTAGTTTGGTCCTTGCAGGGTATGCAAAAATAAGAGCTGGTTGATCTGCTTGATACCAGCATGTAATGGCATGTCGTTGATTTTTTTTTCTTTCTTTAATAGTGCTGCTGACTTGGGTAAACTGTGCCAGTGTGCGATGGGCCACACGTGTGCAAGACATTTTTACTGCAGGAAAACTGCTAGCTCTGGGATTGATCATCATCATGGGAATAGTCCAGATCTGCAAAGGTAAATGCCAATGTGTCTGTGTGTCCTCCAGAGTTTACCGTTAATCACATGGACATTTCATTGAAGTGTGCTGTTTTATAAATGCAAAATGTTTATTACTAATAAAATCGCTAGTTACCCTGCTGATATTGTTGCAATAAAACAAAAGAAAGAAAGTAGACTATCACTTTCAGTCTGGCATTAGTCAGCCCTCGAGAACCTCACCCTATCAATTTACTGCCATTTGACCACACAGTCTTGTTCTGTGAAAAGTTTAGTCATGTTTACTTGTCTGTTGCAGAACGGGAACATATTCTTCCTCAGCCGTAAAGGAACCCTCCAAATCCTTAAAGCACTTTAGCATGTTAAAGTTTTTAAGGGTTTTACATTTTATCCATTCTATCTCAATTTATGAAATTAATTTAACAGGAAATCGGCACATTTATAAAGCCCCTTTGTAAGACCTCCCTACTGTCAACCAGACTGTTGGGAGAGTTTTCTTTCTCACTAGCTTTAACTCACTTAAAGCAGAATTGAGGACTTCTCGTTGAGAGGAAATGGTTTGAGTGCTTCTCTAGTTGAGTTATCACAGCATTTGCCATGCTTGCACCCTGTGTTCCTATTGTTTGTCTATGTGAAGGATTAAATTGACCGGGAGATCAACACTGGCAGAGCTGTGACCAGAAGATAGTCTTGTCTCTGGATAAGAGATGAGTAACTTTTTTTTTTTTTAAGATACATTTGGGGGCTCTAAATCGAAATGTAAAAATGAACACTTCAATGTGGAGTGTTCTTTTATTTTAGTGACTTACTATTTCCCTATCTGTGTTTACTTCACTGAGAACTATGAGAAACATGCAAAGCAAATGCCAATAGAGTTATTGTAAAATAGACTGATTTCAAATGTAAGGCCACAGTAGCAAACCTGGAAGCATAGCCGACAAAATTGTTCCAGTTTGGCTATTTTGAGCTTAAAGGACCACTATAGGCACCCAGACCACTTCAGCTAAATGAAGTGGTCTGGGTGCCTGGTCCAGATAGGATTAACCCTTTTTGCTGTAAACATAGCAGTTTCAGAGAAACTGCTATGTTTACATTAGGGTTAATCCAGCCTCTAGTGGCTGTCACATTGACAGCCGCTAGAGGCGCTTCCGCGCTTCTCACTGTGATTTTCACAGTGAGAAGACGCCAGCGTCCATAGGAAAGCATTGAGAGTGCTTTCCTTTGGACTGGCTGAATGCGCGTGCGGCTCTTGCTGCGCATGCGAATTCAGCTAGGGACGTCAGAAGAGGGAGGTGAGTCCCAGCGCCGGCGCTGGAAAAAAGGTAAGGGATTAACCTCTTCCTCCCCCTTCAGCGCCATGGGAGTGGGACCCTGAGGGTGGAGGCACCCTCAGGGCACCATAGTGTCAGGAAAACGAGTTTGTTTTCCTGACACTATAGTGGTCCTTTAAATTTTAATTAACTTTGGAGATTAAAGTAAATTGCGTAAACTGTTCACAAGTTAAAGAAAAAAAACTTGCATGGGATCTGTATTCTGGAGATTTGCACCAAGGCGGGATGTTAAACATAGAAAAGTGTTGGAGTATGCTATTGTATCTTGAACCACCGTATGGTCTCATTGCTTGCGTGTACCCAATAAACAGTATAGACAGAGTGGTCATAGTTAACATTGCCCTGATATAAGTTAAAGGTTCCTGTGGGAATATAAATAAGAAATTACATAAAAACTGAGGTGTAAACCTTGAATAGACAGTCCTAACCTGACCAACTTATGTACTACAATAGCCCATCGATATAGCATACAGACTGTATAGATTGGGAAAGTGATAGGAAAACAAGTGAGATGTGGAGCAGGGGAGAACTTTGTTGATTCATGACTTTTTGTTGTACTTAAGTTGCATGTGGGTTTTAATGACTTTATTTTTTATTTTGTTGTTTTCTCTTCTAAGGGGAGTATTTCTGGCTTGAGCCAAAAAATGCATTTGAGAATTTTCAAGAACCAGACATTGGGTTAATTGCCCTGGCGTTTCTACAGGGATCCTTTGCATATGGTGGCTGGAACTTCCTGAACTATGTCACAGAGGAACTAGTCAATCCCTACAAGTAAGTGAGGCAACAATGGAAGAGCAGATCTTGATTCTGGATAGCTAGGTTCACATTTCACACAGATAGTGTGTAAACTCTATTACCCTCTATTACCCTTACTTGCATACATTGATCAGGAGCTAAGTGAATGATTTCATTATCAGAGTCAGTATCTTAATCTTCTGTGCAAAGCATTGAATCACTGTATATACCATATATTTGCTGACTTGACTTTTAATTTGCATTATAAAGCCAGGTTTTTAAACGCTACATGGAGGTTTTGGTTTCATTTTGTTATGCACAACTAGAGAGCACATGGAATCTGAATTTTAGGCAATCAAAAGCTAGTTATTGACCTTAATAACTATATTATTCTAAAGTTATGTTTGTTAACTGTTCTCTTTCTTCCTACAGAAATCTCCCACGTGCCATATTTATATCTATCCCACTTGTCACTTTTGTGTACGTTTTTGCAAATATTGCCTATGTGACAGCCATGTCCCCTCAGGAGTTACTGGCTTCCAATGCCGTAGCTGTGGTGAGTACACAATGGTATATCTCATAGTGTGTTGGGTTACTCTCTGACCTATGATCCAACATATTTCTACATTTATATTCACTCAGCCCTTTTTTTTCTGTCTCATATTTATTTTTTAACAAATATATTTTCAATTTTCACCACCTCCTCTCTCTTTTGTTAGACATTTGGTGAGAAGTTGCTAGGTGTGATGGCCTGGATCATGCCAATATCTGTGGCTCTCTCAACATTTGGGGGAGTCAATGGTTCTCTCTTTACCTCTTCCAGGTTAGTGTGAGGTGATCGCTAGCATGTGTTTGTGCAAGCATTATAACACTATGGGTGTTGCAGGCTTGATGAGTGCTGTAACTTGCTCCTCTGATTATTCTTCAGGTTATTCTTTGCTGGAGCTCGAGAGGGTCATCTTCCCAGTGTGCTGGCGATGATTCACATTAAGCGCTGTACTCCAATTCCAGCTCTGCTCTTTACGGTAAAGTATTACCAAATTTCGTTTACTTCATTTTCCTCACTCCCAACTCCTAGTTTTTGGTTTCCTTTACTTTGTACTCACAGTCATTCCTTGTCTCCACAGTGCCTCTCCACATTGTTGATGTTGGTGACCAGTGATATGTACACTCTCATTAATTACGTCGGCTTCATAAATTATTTGTTTTATGGTGTGACAGTTGCTGGACAGATTGTCCTACGATGGAAGAAGCCAGACATCATTCGGCCTATCAAGGTGGGGGCGATAATTATGCATTGATATAGTATCCGTGTCATATGAAAGGTGATCACAAGAAGGGCACAGTGATCTAAAGAAGTAAAGAAACAAATCTATTTAAACAAATATATTTTATAAACCGTTTTCCTTTAAGTAGGGTCTAAGTTCCCTGCACTGATTTCCTGTAAGTGATTTAATTGTAAAACGATTCATTAATTGTGATACATGTTGATGATATTACAGCCCTAGTCTTATCAGGCAAAGTTAAACAACTTAAATTATTGCAAAAGCAAAATCTGTATATACACAGTACTCTTAACCCCTTAAAGGACCACTCTAGGCACCCATACCACTTCAGCTTTATGAAGTGGTCTGGGTGCCAGGTACCTCTAGGATTAACCCTTTTTATTTTTTATAAACATAGCAGTTTCAGAGAAACTGCTATGTTTATACTGAGGGTTAATCCAGCCTCCAGAGCCTCTAGTGACTGTCTCATTGACAGCCGCTAGAGGCGCTTGCGTGCTTCTCACTGTGAAAATCACAGTGAGAGCACGCAAGCGTCCATAGGAAAGCATTGTAAATGCTTTCCTATGCGGCCGGCTGAATGTGCGCAGCTCCTGCCGCGCATGCGCATTCAGCCGATGACGTCGCGAGCAAGGAGGAGAGGAGGAGTACAGCTCCCCGCCCGGCGCTGGAGAAAGGTAAGTGTTTAACCCCTTCCTCTCTCCGGAGCCCGGGGGAGGGGGTCCCTGAGGGTGGGGGCACCCTCAGGGCACTATAGTGCCAGGAAAACGAGTGTTTTCCTGGCACTATAGTGGTCCTTTAAGGACCAAACTTCTGGAATAAAAGGGAATCATGACATGTCACACGTCATGTGTCCTTAAAGGGTTAACCAGGAAACAACCTGGCGAAAAGTACAGAAAGGGTTAGAGGGGTACTAAAGGGCTTAACCCTAGAACATACAAGAAAAATGAGGGAAAAATACTCTACATAGAGAGGGAGCCAATCCCATCAACACCAGTACCCCCTTCAGAACAATATATATAAAAGCTTGCAGAAAACTGTATCTCAGACACAGCTCAAAAAATAATAAAGTGTTATTAATAGTGAAAAAACGTTAAACACACAAAATCTGATTTGCAAATTTCCTGCGAGAATTCAAGCATTTGCGAAAACATTTGAAACAGGAGAGAAAGTAAAGCTATTAATGTTGGCTCTGTACACTCACTAATAAGCTCTTTCTTTGTCCATAGGTTAACCTCATCTTTCCAGTAATCTACCTCCTATTCTGGGCCTTCCTGCTTGTCTTTAGTCTTTGGTCTGAGCCTGTGGTATGTGGAATTGGCCTGGCCATCATGCTCACGGGGGTTCCTGTCTATTTCTTGGGAGTCCACTGGCAGAACAAGCCACAGTGCTTCAATAACTTTGTTGGTAAGTATTGTATCCTTATACTGATGGTATGTTTCTCACCTTCATAGACCTGTCCTGTATAAGCCAACACAATAGTTTGTTTAAAGATGGTTGTAGGTATTTATTGTTTACTAAGTAATGAGGATAAAGTCCCAAATTGGAACTAAACCTCAGAGAATAATCACCAATATATTATAATTCCTCTTAATAAACAAATTTCCTTTATTGCTAAATATATGAAGCCACACGACACGCAAAACACACACACACACACACACACACACACACACACATATATATATATATATATATTGAAGTGAAAAATATGAAATAAAGTAAAATTAAAACAAAAAGTACCAATTGACCAGCAAATAAGAGTAATAGGATTACAACTTGTCTAAGGTAATCGCTTAGAGCTCATATTTAATCCTGTACATTTACAGTCTGAATTGGAAGATCAAAAATATATTAAGTGTACCTGTTGTCAAAGTTACATTATAACTGAGCTAACTCTTACTTGAATTTTAAATGAAGTAAATTCTGGAAGTATCAGGCTGAAATTAAATGTGTGTGTGTGTATGTATCTCTCTATCCCCTGATGAGGAATGGCTATAATTGTATCCACTTAATAGAAATTTGATATAAAATTCCAGACATAAATGGAATAAGTATTAGAAGTTTATTCAACACTTAGATTATAAGAGGTACTTGTAGCAACTGGTTGCAGTGTATTCCAAACAATTGCAGCAATTAAATATGCTTACAATAACCGGAGTACTAGCAGCCAGATTTAAGTTATAATCAGTGATTTTTTTGCTGCAATTAAGGGGCCAAACTGTGTTCTGCGCCCATTCATTATTTTAGTCATGGAAAGCCAGTATCTAGAGATATCAAAAAACAATAGGGAAGTGATAGGGCAGTTAAATTTGGAAACAGGGTAGATCACTAGGTAAATAGTTCAAAGTAAAGAAATTCCGGAATTAATATCAGAAAGGAGAATTATGAACTGAATCTCCCTATACCTCACTCGACATTCTCCCTCCCAGCCTTAAAGGACCACTATAGACACCCAGACAACTTCAGCTCAATGAAGTGGTCTGGGTTCCAGGTCCATCTAGGGTTAACCCTGCAGCTGTAAACATAGCAGTTTCAGAGAAACTGCTATGTTTACATTAGGGTTAATCCAGCCTCTAGTGGCTGTCTCATTGACAGGCACTTCTCTCTGTGATTTTCACAGTGAGAAGATGCTGCCGTCCATAGGAAAGCATTGAGAAAAGCTTTCCTATGGACTGATTGAATGCGCGCGCTTGCCGCGCATGGGCATTTGGCGGATGATGTCAGAAGAGGGAGGAGAGTCCCCAGCGCCGAGGGAGCCCTGTGCTGGAGAAAGGTAAGAATTTAACCCCTTCCTCCCCCAGACCCAAAGACCCTATAGTGCCAGGAAAACAAGTTTATTTTCCTGGCACTATAGTGGTCCTTTAATGCTTCAAGGTAGTTCCCCTGATCTCAGAATAAAAACCTTAATTAGAATATACTATTTCCCAAAAATCACTTGGCAAATTAATAGCCACGAATACATGGGTTTCCTCAGAATAAAACCAGGCAGGGAAATCAACAACGCCATGCCAGATTTTAAAAGAAGTAGAGCCCGTCCTCGGATGATGTCTTCTGGGGCCCGTCATATAGTAGTGCCCGCCCATATCTGAACGCACCTACTCTAGTTCAGAACTTACAACTGGGCGCATGTACATCAAGTCATCCCCGACGTCATCGTAAGTCACCCCCCCCCCCCGGTACATTAACCTGACAGTGTCCCACCTACCCATGTTTATGAAAAATAGGCAGCATTAATGTAGACGTACACCTACCCTTCATACAATGCTAGAGTGCCGATCTCACTGTTTTGAACAGAATGCAGTTGATCATGCAGCACATAGTACAGAGAGGGTGGCATACTTAATGCAATATTCCCATTACATATAGCGACTGTGTACCGATCCCAGAGTGAAATAAAGACCAGGAAAGATTTTCATGATAAGGTATCATATTTGTCTCCCCTGAATGCTAAGATACTACTACTCAACCATATATTAGACATATAGAATTTATATATTATGTCAAACAGGATATATATGTGCAGCTAGTATATAGATAGCATCATCATTCTTCATAGAATGAATCAGACTAGAGGATATCTTAAATCACACAAATGGGTAATTATCCCTTATATTAATATAATAAAAAATTGGATATCTTATTCATGACACACTGTTAAAGTTAACAATATCAACTGCAGTAAAGGGTTTTTGATAATATATTTAATCCAGTGTTCCTGTGGGTGAGTTAAATGAGAAACAAGTAATCCCATGTGTTCTTATATTGCTTTTATTGTTTAACATTATTTATATTGTAGACAGCCTATAGAGGTGGAGTTAACCTTGAAAGGTAATTATTGCAGTTTCTTAAAAACTTCAATAATTACTTTTGCAGGGTTAAGGGACCTGGGGCAGTGCACCCAGACCACTTCAATGAACTGAAGTGATCTGGATGCTTTAAGTGTCCCTTTAAGTGAAAGCAGACGCACAGTGAGAAATTTTGAGAGTGGAAACAGCCTTGGGAGACCAGGCTTCCTGCTCCCTTCACTGTGCTTCCGGTGTTCACAGTCACGGGGCAGCCAGGATTCCTCTCTCCTCTGGTGCTAGGGCAGGTAAACGGCGGAGAGGTGCCCAGCAGATGAATGGCAGCACTAAGGGCTGGCTAAGGAGCTCCTCTCCCAGCACACCAGCAGCAGGGCAGCCCACCAGGAAACCTCTCCTTGTGCGCCCATGGCAGATTTGAACCCCAGGCAAATGCCTTATTCACCTAATGGTAGTGCCTGCATCTGAAGCTCTCTCTTTTTCTGTTGGTATTTATTGTTGATGTTTACTTAACATATGTACCTTGATGATATGTTTCAATCTCAGATGCAATGACACGTGCTGGCCAGAAACTCTGTGTGGTGGTCTACCCCCAAATGGACAGTAAAGATGAAGATGTAAGCGAGGAAACCAAGGAACAGAGTACTCCAATCTATAAGCCAGGTTCTGGAGCAGGAGATGGAGCTCATGCCTGATTTCTAAATTCTCCTCTACAATGATCATTTCACTCCACGTCTGCTGCCCCTGTATACCTTGAGAGTATATATATATCTGTTGACAGGACTACAGTACAGCTCTACCACGATAGATGGAATTTAGTGTGTATGTGCACTTGTGTGTATGTGAGTCTTTGTATGCGTGTCAGTATTCCTGTGTGCACCAATGCAGTGCTGGTTATCAACATTGTATTTTCCAGTTTCCATAGCCCTCAGGTAATTTTGGGGTACCAGGGTAGTCACTTGCTTTGAAGTCAGTGCTGTGTAATTGTGTGTCACAGAGTCTGTGTGTCTTTGGAACTCTGCTGTATACTGGGGTTGTTTTATCTCCCAATATGGTGTCATTATTTCATGTAATGGCTCCCCCTGGTGGCAAACAAAGAAAAGCTGCAGGTTAAATAGACTTTTTGATGAGCAGCCTGTGTTGTTTGTGGGTTTACACCTATCCACTCTGTCGCAGTCTGAGCTGCCTGTTGTGCTATCTCTACCTGTGGATTCATGATTTGACCAACAATCTGATCTTTATACATATTACCCTTAGCTGTCCAGATTTGCACTGCTAGAGGAAGACGTCTGCCTGACAATCATGAGACCTGCACAGGACTGACCTTTCTCCTCTGCTACTGCCTGCACATGGAAGATAATAGAACTTCCATGTGTATATCTTGCTGCTCACTTGTAATAAAGGCGCACTCCACTGTGGACTCAGGTCTTTATCCAACTGACTGTCACAGGACTTTTGGGTTCTCAATCCTTACTCCAAAACTGCGGTTACCTATTGTCCAACTAGAAGACCTGTGTCATATGTTCACACTCCGAGAATTGTGGGTAATTACCCACCTATTTGTGTGTTTTTTTTTTTTTATTCTTCATTTCAGAATTCTCCACGTTTTATATATATTTTTTATTTAGAATCTCATTTCTGAATGTAATAAACTGGATCTTGTGCCTTTTTGTTGAGAGGTTAGTGTGTATATAATCATGTCTAAAGAGTTTGTAACACAAGGTAGGGGTATGCTGCTTTAGAAGAGATGTGAGTAATATGTAGTCATTGATTAGGATACTGTGTCTCCACTACTGCATCTTGAAGGAAGAATATTTTGGTTTATGATAGCCCTTAATTTTATATTAGCGTTAATTCATTGTCATTGCACAAACATCATAGCAGCAAAAAAAAAAACCAACGTATTTTTTTTGTTTGACTTTTCTTTTAGTAAGAACTTGCTTCAGATTTAGAGCATTTACTTTTAAATACGATCTCACTATTTCTAATAGAGCTGCTACACAATAATTAAAAAGCTAAATCAGGGTTAATACAGTGCATCTTATGTACATGTGCTAGAAACTGGCATTAATTTCCATGTAACATACTAAATACATTTTACAGTAATATATAAAAATGATTTGGATTAGAAAAATAACAACCATAATGCTGTGGTCTTGTTGGAGATTGCATTGTGGGTATTCATAGACAAACCAAGGATTAATAACGATCATGAACTTTATTAATCTCTTTCTCTGGGATTGTTCCAAAATTCTTCATGCACATTCTTTGGATTTAATGTACAGCAAGCTGAAAACAATTGTTGGTTGAGATACATTTTTGCTTGTTAGAAGAAGTATCGTGCAACTGCGCTGGGACAGTATTTACACGTTCTCTTCTTTTTATGGATCTGACCCCATGGCATTTCTTCTCAGAGGTCCTCATCTGGCTGATAGGGAGTCCAGTAGCTCATACTAAAACCTGAACCTCACAAGTGGCAATTCTTTTGATGATGGATTCACACAAAGGTGGAAATATGTGACACTACATTAAATAACTCTAAGGTATTTTTTTTCTTTTTTTAAAATGCCTTTTTTTTTTTTTTTTTTAAAGCAAGATGCTTGTACCCGTACTGTTTTGCCAACAAAACACAACCAGTGAAATAGTCAACAGCTTTAAAATGCATACGGTTGTATCATTTTCTTCCATGAAAGTTACCAAAAGTCTTCTCACCTTACAGTGCCCGGTGCAGTGCAGTTATATATATAAAAATAAATATATGTATGACTTATTAACTGAGGACCATGCTTGCTGTCACTTGATAAATGAAATTAGTCCATATGTGTGATATATGAGGTACAATCCATTAAAAAAAAATGCTCTTTCAGATTAATTGATGCTTCTATGGAATAATATTACACATATACACCACTAAGCTAATGAGAAATCATGAAAAACTAAATAAAATAAATTATTTTCTAATAAAATATACAATGTATGTATAGAAACTTCTTGGTCCTAAAAGAGGTGGATGAGTCCAGAGCAATTACATTTATATTTTCTTAAAAGGAAATAGTTTGATATTTTAACTAATATATTTATAATAAAAACACACACACGGTCATACAACTAATAAATGTTCACAAATGTGATGATGCCTGAAGTCATCAGTTTGAATATTGATGACATGATCATCTGTTATCGTTATTAGCTTATGTTTGAAATTGTAGGTTTATTTCTTACCTGATGCTGTTTTTTCCTGGAGCTGTTTAATTTGATTTTGGCTTTAGCTTTACTGCTTATTGTAAAAGAAAAAAAAAAGTGTGGTATTTTTAAGTAGGTCCTCTAAGTTGGTTAAGGGTACTCGTATATATTTAGTTATATTAATGTTTAATTTAAGAAACACTTTACTGTATGTTGTAAAGTTGTAGACTATACAGCAAGCACAAAATTGGTAAGTGAGAAATAATATATTTAGCATTAGCTAGTGCAATTGTGCTGAATTTTGACAGCACAACGTAAAAGTTTTATTTTCATACAAAAAAAACTTAAAATATATTCTTTTTCAGCCCTTTAATCACATTGATCAATGACCTAGATATTGTAAATGGACTCTTTACTGCCTAAATACAAAGAAAAAAAAAATACTGTTTAGTATATACAATCACAACGAAAATATTATTTATAAAATATTTTACCAGCATGGATACATTGAGATTTCTCCTGGGTCCACAAAACATTACATTGTTACAATAGGATACAATATTACAAAAATACAAACTACATACACACATATGTATTACATTTATATGTGTGTATATATAACAGGTAATAAATTCAGCCACAACAGGTGCATTCTGTGCTGAGATATATTGCCATAGATAGCTTGAAAGATTTTAGATTGAATGAAGATGTGACTGTCCCTGAGGTTATTCCATAATTGCTGTGCTCTGTAGGAAAAGGAGGATCAAGACACTATTTTTGTATTGCGGTGTGCTTTTAATTATGCTTTCTTTAATTGGTGCTTTTTGTATATACAAACAGCTTGCAAAAGCTGCCGCTCTCTTGTCCGCAGCCTTTGCAAGCCATCCCCTTCTTTCCCAGCCTAGACTTTCTGTGGCTATCCATTCACAGACTTCCCTGTGCAGCTCACAGAGACGTCTTTGCAAGGCAGGTGCTCTGGGTATTTCCCTGCCTCCACTGAGCTAAAGTACCAGTAAGTGCCAAGACTGGGTAACTGACACCTGGGGGGAGGGGTGTAAAAAGGTTAACTTCTAAAAGTGCCAATTTCTATTAAAATCGGTACATTTTGTAAAAAAAAAAAAAAAGACACTCTCCACATTTAAAGCACTTCAGCAAACTTGAGTGTGTTAGGTGTTTGTAGTGTTCTTTAACTTGTACAAGAATCCCATTTAGTATAGTAATAGAAGTACTGATCTTAGCTCTATATCGCATTAGTCAAGTGGCTTTCATTGCAGGTATTTTGAAAAGAAGATTCAGGTTTATTCACTAGTCAGTGGTGTCTGGTATTTTACTCTGCATATTCTGTAATGTATCTTTAAATGGGGGCATACTACAAAGATAGATATGGGGTAATTGTAAAGTATCTGCTGTTCATCAAATGTGACAGGCCAAAATCTGATTATAGCAATACTGAAAGAAAATGACAGAGCTACTGATTAAAGGGATACTGAAGGCTGTTAATGACTCTGCCTTTACTCAATATATATATAAAATAAATATATATATATATATATGTATGTGTGTGTGTGTGTATATATATATATTTGATATATGTGTGTATTAAGGCCATTTGGCCTATAATTGTGGGAGGTGCTTGTTATTCACTGCTAGCCTACTTAAGAGACACCCCTTACCTGGCTCCATACCGTTCGAGGTCAGCGTTGAATGACCCTCCCACCACACCACATTATAAATAATTATTTTCATTTCTTTTTCCTTGGTAAGCCCTCTTCTTTCTCAGGCCTACCTCATCTGTGGTTCCGGCACACCACAACCGACTTGCTCTTTTATACCATCCTACGTTCATTATGGTATTTTACTCTGTACTATCATAAGCACCTAACACAAATATATATATATATATATATATATATATATATATATATATATATATATATATATATATATATTATTTTTTTATTTAATTTTTTTTTACATTCATGAAGTTAGTATATAAACAAATGCAAATGAAAAGACATTTAAAAAAAAATGGATCTCTAAATGTGCAATGTGTGGAGCATATATGCACAATCTACACACTCTGCCATTTGACAAACCTGAAAATGTTTAAGCCTATTCTAGACCTTTAAAGTTTTTTCGTGAGATCACTATACATAATTAGTTCAAGGAGCTTTTGTTTTTTTCCACAAATATATAAATAATATTACTTTATTAAAAATTGAGTTATGCTATTTATCTTAAAAAATTATGCACCTGCAGGACAGTTAGTAGAGAATCTGCATCCCAAGATTAGATTCTTAAATATCTGCCCTCCAAAGTCTAAGGTGCATCATTCTGTCTCTGCAACTGTCCATGTCACACAGTCATTAGGTCTGTAAAGCAAGCATCTCAAACTCAAAGGCTAACCTGGGCCAAATAAACAAGGTGTAAGTTTATGTGGGCCGCACAAAAACAAAAACTTAAGTTTTCATTGAAACTTAGGTTTATTTAGAAAAGTACAGTATAAAAAAAAGTTTCAAAACTGGATGTTCTCACACTTATAGGGTTTCAAAGTAAACAAAAGAGCGAATTTATGTTAAAGAGATGTGCATTTGCATATAACCAATGTTAAAGCCAAACTACCTTGACATATTAAAGGATCACTAAAGGGTCAGGAACACAAACATGTATTTCTGACCCTATAGAGTTAACACCACCATCTAGCCCCCTGGGCTCCTCATGCCTCTATAAATATAGCAAAATCTTACTGTATTCAAGCCTGAAGCTGTAACTCTGCATGCTGTCAGCCTCAGAAAACAAGCAGTCTGCTGACCTCATTAGAAGTGGTGGCCTGATCCAATCACAGTGCTTCCCCATAGGATTGGCTGAGACTGACAAAGAGGCAGATCAGGGGCAGAGCCAGCATGATTCAAACACAGCCTTGGCCAATCAACATCTCCTCATAGAAATTAATTGAATCAATGAATCTCTATGAGGAAAGTTCAGTGTCTGCATGCAGAGGGAGGAGATACTGAATATTTGGATGCATTTTAGGCAGCCATGACCCAGCTCTCTGGCCTAAATCCCCATGTACATTTAAACAAAATGGAGGCTCTTTAGTTTTATTCCAATGGCCATTTGAATACATAAGCTTACCAGCCACGTCAAGGCAAGCCTCAATAGGTGAGTTCCTACACTAGCCATTAGATATGCTGATATCAGCCAAGAGTCTCCAGTGAGACAGGAAGGGGTATTTTATAAACCCTTTAACATTTAACCCTTTATAGGGCTTCTGCACATACAATAAACTTTGCTGATATCAGCCAAAGTGAGACAGAAAGGGGTGTTTTATAAACCCTTTAACATTTAACCCTTTATAGGGCTTCTATACATTCAATAAACTTTGCTGGTATCAGACAAAGTATAGACGTCTCTAATGAGACATGAAAGGGTGTTTTATAAATCCCTACATACTTTACCCTGAATAGGGCTATAACATACAAATCACCTTGCTGGTATCAGCTAAAAGGCAGATTTCTCTGATGAGACAAACGCCCTATAAAGGGTTAAATGTTAAAGGGTTTATAAAATACCCCTTCCTGTCTCACTGGAAACTCTTGGCTGATATCAGCATATCTAATGACTAGTGTAGGAACTCACCTATTGAGGCTTGCCTTGACGTGGCTGGTGAGCTTATATATTCAAATTGCCATTGGAATAAAACTAAATAGCCTCCATGTTTGTTTAAATGCACATGGGGATTTAGGCCAGAGCGCAGGTAACGTTTTCTTTGTTTTTAGCCATGACCCAGGAAGAATCTCTAACCGCCATCTAAGGAGTGGCCAGTGAAGTTATCACTAGGATGTAATGTAAACATGGCATTTTCTCTGAAAAGACAGTGTTTACAGCAAAAAGCCTGAAGGTAATCATTCTACTCACCAGAACAAATTCAATAAGCTGTAGTGTCCCTTTAAGAAAAGTTTGTTAATGGGACTAAAATGGTGAATGTATGCTTTTGCACAGCTGTCCAAAAACAAATGACATTTTCTTGTTGATTTTAAAGTTCTATGAGTGTGTTCTTCACTTTGGCCTCCCCCCATCTAATACATTGCCCTCAAATCTGATATACTGCACTCCATCCTAATACACTGCCCACAAATCTAATACATTGCCCCCAAATCCAATCTAATACACTGCCCCCTCCACCCAATCTTATACATTGCCCCTTAATCTAATACACTGCTCCTCCTCCTTCCACTCTAATTGAATACACTGCCCTTCCCCCAATTCAACACACTGACCCCCCTTTCACCACTCTAATACTGCCTCCCTCCCCCCAATTTAACACAATGCCCCTCTCCACTCGAATACACTGTCCACTACCTCGCCCAATATAATACATTGCCCCCGCACTCTCCCAAATTAATACAGGCCCCCTCCCTCAAATTAATACACTGGCCTTCTCTCTCCATCAAATAATACACTGCCCTCCATTCCAAATTTAATACATTGGTCCACTCCGCACCTCAATTTAATACACTGCCTCCTCCACCACCACTCTAATACTGCCTCCCTCCCCCAAATTAATACACTGCCTTCCCCCTAATTTAACACATTGCCCCCCATTTGACTGTAGTCACTGTCACTGGTAATAGAAGACAGACACTATGTGTGGGTCCCCATATTCCTTTTATGTTTTGGTCACCCTGCGCCCATTATTGGTGCAGGGTATGTTGAATGTATTGCTTGTCTGTGACTCTCCCCCTCCCCCTCCCCCTTTTTCCTGTCCTATTTTTTCCTCAGCAGGGTGT